AGTAAACATTCAAATATGTGAATGGGTCTAGTTCTTCTTTAAGTCCTGACATGTACTTGTTTACTGAGATGAATTTTGCCATCTTTTCTATCGGATAAAAAAATATTTTTTTTTAAATTTACTCAGAAAAAATTTTCTTTGTATATACACCATTCTGTACGTCTAAAAGACTTTTGACATTTGCCAAGAATGTTCGTTTAGACGCTGTCATATAACCATATTCTTGACAATATTGTTTATACGAATCGTACAATGACCTTTCATCTAATGACACAAAGTCAGTTTCATCTATGAACAGTTCATATACACTCTTGTTTGCTTCTAACAATGTTTGTCTCTCTTCGGTATGTGGAATTTGTCTTGGATTGAACTTTGAAATATCTAATGTCATAAAATATGAGAACAAGTGGTTGTAAAAGTCAGATGTCAAACATTCTGACAAAGCGTCAAAATATTCTGTATCTTGCATACGAGAATCTGACGTTCTGACAACTACATATCTTCTGTCAGAACTTTCTAACTTCATCGGAACAGCATTGTTTGAAACCATAATGAAGTTTGCAACATTTTCACAAACTCTTTGGTCTTTATATTTTCTTTCAACAACTCCAACTTTGTCTGTTATAAGACTCTTCAAAGCATCTGAGTTCAAAACTTTTGTTGTATCTATACTTTGAAGTTCGTTACAACTATAAGTTTCATATTCTCTATTGAGGAGTTAAATTTACCGCAGATGTTTTCTAAGTTTGTCATATTCGGATTCGAATAACCTTCTAACAGTTTGCACAAAATATCTGTAAAGAAAGTATTCTTACCAGTTCCTTGTTTTCCAATTATAATGAGAGCAGTTTCATTTTTAGCACTTGGATGTTGTAAGATGTTTGCAAACCAACATAAGATATACTCATAAACCTTTTCGTTTCCATTGCATATAATTTCTTTGACATGGTCTAACCAAGCTTCTATAATATTTTTTCCATTCTACTTGTTCATATTTATATCCAGTGAAGATAGAATAGAAGTTTGGAGAAGGTGTATAGAACTTTATACCTCGAACTGAAAAATCTTCTAACTTTGACAATAAGATATCCCAAGCATCTAACATCTTCATTCCAACTTGTACGACTTTTATTTTCTTAAGTTTCTGTCTACATTCTTGTTCAGACACTATTGTTGCTCTTGGTTTGTTAAAGACAATCCCATTCTTTCATGACATAACATTCTGGGGCAGAGTCGACATAAATGACTAAACGTTTCAAATTCTCGACTGCTTTGTTATAGTCTCGAAATGGACACATATTTCTGAATGCTTGGAAGTCATAAAAATCTGAAACATCTATTCTGTACATTTTTATAAAAATAAAAAAAATATTTTTTTTTATTCTTGACTTTGTTGTTCCATTTGTTGCATTTGTTGTTCTTGAGCTATTTGTTGTTGAAGTTGTTCTTGTAATACAATACTTTCACCAGTTGCATCTTCCAATTCGAAACTTTCTGCCGTCATTGACAAATACATAGGACATAAAAGTTTTACAGGAACAAAGTTTGCGTCAACTAATGTCAACGTTATACTTGCCAAAGTGTTTGAGTTCACTAAGGTTGAAAATTCTGCATTCGAATGAACAATAGGCAAACCAGCAGAGAAAGTATTGTTTATACGCATAAGTATCTTTTGGTCATAATAGTTTCTGTCGACATTCGAATAACACTTTGAACCTAAGTTTGAAACAATATATAAGATTGGTGTACTTAAAGTCAATGGAACAGACATTCCTTGTATGACACCTTTTCCTGTTATAGGAAACTGTTGGTAGTAAAAACCAGAAATAAGTTTTGTATTATAGCTCATATTGTTTATAGTAAACTCAGTCGGACATCCAAACATAATGAAACCTGCTCTAGTTGCAGCACATGTTACACCCGTACTTAAAGTATTAAATAAGTCAACAAAACCTGTTGGTGGTATATCTGAGTAAGTATCTTCAAAGGAGTATTTTTTACCATTCACAACAATAAAGTCTTCTGGTGTCAAAAGAGCAAAACAGGCTTTAGTCGTCATTGTGTTTAAAGTTAGTTTACAATACCGTCCTTGAGGACTTTGTAAGTTTGTTGTTATAGAATTATATGACTCAGGGTTTTTAGTCGTAATAGTATAAACCATTATATCTTCTGCCATTTATATATATTTAAAAGTTTTTCTGAAAGTGGAGAAGAACTTCATCTAAACTTTCACATGGCGTTTCTTGAAGTTCTCTGTCTAAGAAGTTCAAATATTTTGTAAAGACATAGAACTTTCCTTTGTCTACACGAACAAACAAAACAGGGTCTTTCATATCGTTCAAAAGTGTGTAAAGTCCTTTACATGAAATAAAGTCTATATTATTTTTCTTCAAACATCTTTCAAGAAGTTTTGACATTTTTACTTAGCAAATAAATTTTAATGAAATGTTGTGGTCGTCAAATATTTTTATGACGTCTGGGAAACTATACTTTAAGTTCAACGTTTCACCTCCTTTCATAACGTATATCTTGTCAATGACATTATATGAAACACCACAGCAACTAATGTCGGGTTCTATTTCTTTGATGTTTATATCGTCTGCCTCTGTCAAAAGTTTCAATAGTTCTTTCAAAACTTCATGAGGTGCAATGACATATGAGTTCACTTTTACAGGGTTGTGTTCGACCAAGTTTAACATTATACTTAAAGCTTGACAAATCTTCTCCTGAGTTTGAAGTTTGTCTTTCAGTTGTTGGTAGTCGTTTCGAATATCTGCAACAGAACTTAAGTCTCTGCTAACTTCAGGATATGTTGGTTCTTTTACAGGAACAATTGTTATACCATCTTCGTCTTCGTATGGTTTCCCCACTTCAACATCTCTGTCTTTGACATTGACAACAACACTTTGACTGTTTGTTTGAGTTGGTGAATTTAACTTCACATCTGCCACCGCCATTAAACCTTTTGAAACACTTACGCTTCTATTTTTCGGAAATGACATTTTACTTAGAATAAAAAGATGGACGTATTCGAGTATCTCTTCGAATTGAAGCAAAAAAGTTTACACACACAAACAATACAAATACATTGACAGAATAGTTCTTTATACAAACAATGGTAAATGTTATAGAATAGCAATATCTTGCTGAACCAAAATATTTCATAAAGCAAAGAAAGTTGGTATAACTGAAATGGTGAAAGTTCTTGACAGACAAAAATATAACAACAAAACTTACAGATATTTCTAAAGGTAAGTTTATCTTACAATATTATGTCAAAACTGGCGTACTGTCAATATTTGACGGAGAGAAGTCAGTTCAAGAACAACTTACTGACCTGCTGCCAAAATCTGCTCGATGGAAGCTGTCGTTATGCCAATCTGAGGAGCCCCAGCAGGTTTCATCGAACGAATCTTCAAAAGAGCATCTTCCGTGAAAAGTGCTATTGGTTTTGTAAACTTCTTTGCTCTCAGTTCATCTGGACCGTCTCTGTCACCAGTATATTGTATTTGTACAGTACCAACAGTTGAAATACCACCCATAAAGTCTTCTGAGTCAGCAAATGGAATGCCAAGCCAAAAGTTTGAACGGTCTCCATTTGTATATTGAGTTTTTTGACCTCCTGTATGAGTCCATACTTTCACATATGGCATAATAGAACTTTGCATTTCAGGGTTAATGGTTGTTGTGAAGTTGTTGTTAAAGTTCATAGCATCTAATGTCAAGTTGTATGACCTCATATCCTCAACTGTAGAATATTCTTCTCTTGGATAATATTTGCCATCTATGTTTATATGATATTTAATACCGGGGTTGTAGAAACAAGAATAGTCATTTATAGTTCGTCTGAACAGTACAAACATAGTATCTGCATGTTTCATTGCAGTTGTTAAAGCAATATCTGTTCTTGCACCTGGGTCAGCACTTTGGTTTCCAACTTCACCTGCAAAGTCTTTGACAGATATTTGGTGTATAGGGAACATAAGTGGAACTGCAATATATTTGGCAGCTAAAGCATTTGAAATATCTGGGTCCAACATATAGACTGCAAGTCTGCTTTCTATTCTCTTGCATTCAAACTTTTCGCATGTGAACTTAACTGGGTCCCAAGCAGTTCCAGCAGCATTGAAATAATAGTTTACTTCATTGTTGAAGTTTGAGAAACCAAAGTCTAAGTCAACTTTGTCTTTGCAAAAGTCACAGAACTTGGCTCCACCAGTTCCAGCTACAGTAATGCTGAATGGGTCTTGTGTTGGTGCAATGACTAAGTTATTTTTGCTTGGAGTAAGTTCATAGAAATTTTTCCTGCCCAGTTTGGCAAGTATCTTAAAAACCTGAAGATGAGGAAAGATGACAAAGGAACTCTAAGTTTCAGTTTTACTTTAGTGGCAGCAGTTCCATCTGAACCAGAAAGGTTAACATAAACTCCTGGAACGTTAGGGTCAAGTCTTCTTATTTTCTCAATATTTGCATACTGGTCTGTTTGTTCTCTAGCTTGTGGTTGTACTGAGTTTCTCAAAGCGAACCATTCATAGTTTGCCCATGTTACTGTTTGAACTAAGTCAGAGTTAGAATATATCTTATATCCCATGAAAACTTCTGGAGCATATTGGTATCCGACATAGAAAATTCCATTGCAACCTTTCTTGTCAGACAACTTGGCAGAAGGTTTTATTTCAATGTCTTGTTCCACGTATAAGAATGAGTTGTCAATAGAAATAATATGAAACCTGTCGCAAGCAATATCTACTGTTGTTGAAGAACCTTCTCCAAACTCACCTACGTTTCCATAAGAAACAGCAGTTGTATATTCGTAAGTTCCAGGAACTATTTCTGACCTTCTAATGGCATTGTCGCATTCGTTATACCATTCGGAAACATTTCCGTTCATGGCATCCAAAACTGTTGGCGTTATATTCTGAGCGGCGTACATTTCATATGGGTAAAAATATAGAATAGTTGAATTTATTTGTCATAATAGAACCCACTCGTACCAAGCTTTACTTTGTTCTACTCTTCTTCTTTGGTGTCGCTTTTGGTAACTTGCCCTCTGCTTCAAGTTGTTGCATCTTTGCCTCATGTTCACCTAGTATGTTGTAAATTTCACGTGTCCTTTTTGCCTTTGGGCTCTGGTCGCCCATCTCAGGTAACCTATATCCTAGAAAGATTTTGTCATAGTTTGTATTTGAGTCTTCGCGTATTGTTTGCATGACTCTTTCCTGAGTTTCCGGTTCAAGCTCTTCAAACAGAGCTTGTCCATATGGAATAAGCTCGTTTCCAAATATATGTTTTTGTAGCCATTCTGGTTTTCTTTCCATGTTACCAATAATATCTTTTGTGAATGGGAAAGCTTTTACCCAATGTTTCAGTCTTGCGTCATTTATTTCTGTAGTTGGTTTTATTTTGTCAAGGAACATGTTTTTCAATACTAACATTTCATTTGGTACTGTCCATTTGAGTTTTCTTAAATATTCATCCCTTCTCAGTTCATTGTCTGCAAAGTAAGTTTTTATGACATTTTGTAAACTTTCGTTTGCAAGGTCATGTACAATAGGTTCTCTTCCTTCTATCTCCCTAACTTTCTTTCTAAACTCTTCACCAAATATACCATCTCTATGGTTCTGTGTAGTTCTTTGAGATAAATGTTCTAGAACGTCAGGTGTTATATTTCCATCAGCCATGTTCATTTCATACTGGTCCAAAATATCTGCATGTTTCATATCTTTCAATGGCATTAAAGCCGCGCTGAAAATACCAGCTATATCTGGTTCACCATTCACTTCCATTGCGTCTACAACTTCTTGGAATTGTGGTTGTAAGTTTATGAACCACCTATCCGGATTAGCTTTATGACCCCATCTCATTGTAGTTCCATAGTCTGCAGAAACAAAAGTAGGTTTGTTTCCATATTGGTTAGGTTCTGAATGAACTTTAAACAATGTTTCATTTCTATATGTTTTGTTGAAATTTAACCTTTTATTTTCACCGAGTTCAGCCAAAGATTGAACGTTATATGGTCGTAAGTAAAAAGGATTGTTGTATTTGCGTACATTTTTTTCAGTACTTCCATTCTATGCTGAATATTTTCATCTGATGTTGGAGTCTTTTGTATGTCGGCGAACATTTTTCGATATTCTTCTACTATGTCAGCTGAATTTTTCTTAGACTCTTGGAAAGATTCCATATTCTCCGCATACTCTTGTTGAGGGTCAAGATTTTTCGGCTGTTCCAAATCTTCATCTAGTTCTGTGAAGTTAGTTTCCAAAGGAGGGACTTGTTCGTTTCCTTCAGGCTCTTCTAGCTGTTGTTGCTGAACTATTTCTTCCATGTCTGGTTGTATCTGAACTTCTTCCTGTGGAGTTTCTTGTACCTCATCTGCTGGCATTTCATATATTCCGAGACCGTTTTTAACAAGTTCCCTATTTAAGCCATCCGCATTCATAACCCTTTCTTCTTTCGTTCCGTCTCTATTTTTTACGCGTTTCATGAAGATAGTTGAATTATCATTTATCTCTGACACCAAATATCTCGGAGTAAATTCATCATGTCATTTGGATGATATGCTATTAAATCATATCCCTTAGCGAGCTTGTATTTTCCAGGTTTGAAATTATATCCCATTTGGTGCTGAACCATAAAGCTAAATAGGTTCGGGTCAGTATTTCCTTCCTTGAACTTTCTAATAGCTTCTTTATATCTGTCACTAAAGTCAAGAGTATCTGGGTAACCATAATTTCCTTAAGCATTTTTAAGAATTCTTGGTTTCCTTGTTCTCTACTTCTTTTATGTCCTTGCTCTGTTTGTGGTTGTTGTTGTGCAGGTTTTGAACTGTTGGTTGTGTGCTGGTTGTGGTTGTTGTTGTGCAGGTTTTGAACTGTTGGTTGTTGTGCTGGATTTTGAACTGTTGGTTGTTGTGCTGGATTTTGAACTGTTGGTTGTTGTGTTGGTTGTTGTGTTGGTTTTGGTGCATGCCTGTGTCTGTGTCCATGTGACGATGTAAATGTTTTAGGTAGTCCTGGTGCAGGTGCTTCTCTTGGAGGGTTTGGTGGTATATAAGTTCCACTAGCTAGTATATAAGTTCCACCAGCTGGTATATAAGTTCCACCAGCTGGCACATATGTTCCATCTGCAGCATAATGTCCTACCTGACTTTTCGTTTTTAAGAAAGCATTTACTAGGTCTGTTTTGGTCTGTTGTAACTCTTTTTCTTGACTTTCCACAACAGTTGCTCTAACGGCGTCATAGGCACTTTGAACTGCCTGTCTCGTTGCTGCATCTGTTATTTTCGTCATATTTTGTGCTACTTCTCTTAACTCTTTGTCGAAACCTTCAGACTTCAGTTTCTTTCCAGATGAGAAGTCGTTCACTAGTTTCACCTTACTATGAAGAGCTTCGAAGGCGTTCTTAAAGTCAGCATTCATTAAAGCTTCATTTGAACTGTCTTCATCCGCTTGTATTTTTGTCCTTATTGACCCTATAAGTTGGGCTGCTTTAGCGTTGGCTTGGGCATCTAACCAGTCATTATTAGCTTTTATATATTCTGCGCTTTTCATTGCCTTTTGCATGGCTGCGTCGTTATTTTTACTTTCTTGTGCTAAGTTTTCATACTGTACGGTTTGGTTTTGCAACTGTAAAAGTTTTTCTGCCTTTACATTTGCTTCAACTTCTTTTTTATACTCATCGCTATCCATATATGTCTTCAGGGCTTTTTGTTTTATCTCTTCATCTTTCAGTACTTTATATTGAGTAGTATGGTTTTTCAAATTTATAACATCTTGTTCCATTTTTGCTACTTCTGCTGCTTTTTCTGACACTTTTTTCGCATATTCCTCTGTACTTAGTTCTTTCAGTTGTTCTTCTTTCTTCTTTTTCTCTACGTTTAACTCATTGAGTTTCTTTGTGTGTCTGTCATATTCTAGTTTCTTTTCGTTTTCACTTATTTGTTTCTGTATGTCTATGTTTGACTTTTTGACATCTGTTATTTGATTTTTGAGTGAACTCAAATTCATTTGACTTTGAGGGTTATAAGCTGTTCCGTCTGCAGCTCCACCATAGCCTGCCATTTTCGCTAAAAGTGCCGCTCTTAAACCTCCACTCTGTGCACCAATAACTCGGTTTAAAAGCATAGGGTTGCTTGACATTTGTTGCAACATAGTGGGGTCATTCATAATTTGTTGTTGCAACTGTTGTTGTGGTGTTAGTTTTACTATTGGATGTTTCAATGCTCCCTTCCTCTTACGTATATTCTTACGTAGCTTACGTGGCATTTTAAGTGAAGTAAAAAACGGTTTTTGACAGATGTTTATATGACACTTTTTGTTCAGCACAAAAAACTACTCGGTCAAAGTGTTGTCAATTTTGTAAAATAACCGTCCTATCTCATTCTATAAGGAGAAAAGGCTTCTCAAAGTATACTTCCTTGGAACGCCTGTAACTTTTCCTGTAGCGACGATAGACCCTTACTTGTCCGGACAAAGTTATACTATTTTGAGTGTTCTACAAAAAAGTCAACAGCGACGACTCTCAAAAACCGTTGTGTAAAAAGTTTTACCGTTGGACAAAAAAGTATATATAGAAAACAAAAAACGTTTATAGTTCATTCAATATTTGAGATGGAACGGTTTGCCAACGGTAACTATTAAATAAAATAAAAAAATAGAGGGGGTCTCCGTTGGTAAAAACCGTTTATTTTAAACTTTTCTATGAGTAGTCCGAAAAAAACAGTTTATTTTTCATAATGGAAGGAAGAAAAAGTGTCGCAAACAATTCGTCGACTACCTCTGCAGTTAAAGTTCCTACAACTTATGTCTCACCATTCTCAAAACCCTTACAACCTCCTATAATACCAAAGCAACTTCCTCATACAATTGCAAACAATTCGTCGACTACCTCTGCAGTTAAAGTTCCTACAACTTATGTCTCACCATTCTCAAAACCCTTACGACCTCCTATAATACCAAAGCAACTTCCTCATACAATTGCAAACAAATTGTCCAACAATTTGAGTTCTTCTTCTCAAAACACAACAGATACAGTTGTCCAAACAGCACCAGAACAAGTTTCACATAGTTCTACAATTCAAGACAAATTGTCCAACAATTTGAGTTCTTCTTCTTCTCAAAACACAACAGAAACATCTGAAACAGATTTACAACCAGCACCAGAACAAGTTTCACATAGTTCTACAAGTATGTTAACAAGAGCACAATTTCAAGATTTAATTTCTCTTGAACAATATTCGAGTAACGAAACACAAAGCGACGACTGTAACCTCTCGCTACCCGAATCCATTCAAAGAAAATACGCCATGAAAAGACTGAAATTGTTGTATAAACTTCTTAACAATTGGGGAGTCGAAGACAACTCAGATTATAGTGAAATGTTTAACAAAGTCATAGAATCTGTTAAACCAATTGAAAACGACATAAAAAATCCCGGTGTTCTTGTAGACCTTTTCGCCTCAAAATTACCAGTTACAACCAATCTAATAGCAACACAAGCTATAGAGCAATTTATTTTATGTTTTCCCAAGCAATATAGACAACACCTGAGGGAAACAAGAATAGGAAAATTTCAATTGGTGTATCCTACAACATACAACTATTACGAAGAAGCAAATGAATATGGAGAACTCTCATTCCATTTCACACTTTCAGTTCCTGAGGGAGAAGAAAAAGCAATCTATCATGTACAATCTCTTGCAGGATGTGAAGGAAAACCTCACATCATAACTACTGTTGCAATTGACAAACCTGCAAGAGTCGAAGACGATGTTTTGTTCGCGTCCATTGCTGGTTTTGGCATGGGAGAACCAATTCCAATTTCCCATTTCACAGAATACTCAGCACAACATTTTCAAAATGTAGAATTCGTGTTCTACGACCATCAAAAGTTCCTGCTAACAAAACCAAAGAAACAATTTGTCTCAATATTTGTTGCTGGTCATGTGGCTGACAAAGAGCCATCAGATACTGACTATGAAGAAGAGGAGGAAGAAGAAAACGATAGCGATGTCGTTCTTATCGAATAAAAACTTTAATTTTTTACTATATAATTTTTTAGTTCTCCTCTAGGTTTTTTAGGGGCTAGAAGGGGCGCAGCCCCTGGAAGCCCCACTTTTTTTTTTTTAGAATTATGCAAAATATGACTAAATAATTATAAATTTCAAGTTAAATTTTAATTTTGATAAATAATTTAAATTTCAAAATATCAAGTTCAGTTCGACTATGTATGTAGTAATTCCTCAATAAAGTGCCAAAACCCTATTAAAATATATGAACATTTTCAACATTTTAATGTTTTTATTTAAAAATTTGTTGGAATATGAGCTTCAAACAATTATTATGTAAATAAAAATAATTAAATATATGTATTTATTCGTATTACAACCGTAGTAAGTCGATTCTTCCTTTCTTCTACTGAGGTTTGAATTTGATTTCGAATTGTAAAGAGATTCAAAGGGAAAATACTAGCGGATAAAAACTACCTCCATGAAAGGGTCATAATGGAGTCAAGTTGTATTTTTTGATATTTTTTGCTTTTCGAGCCTAAATAGGTAGCCAAGATAATGCCTAAAAATAAGGTTCTAAATTCTGAAGTTTACATGATCCTCTCGTGTGCACCCTTAACAATTTTCATTTTTTTCTTTTAACAATTTCGTTTTATTTCCATTTATTGTTAAATGATTTTTAGCATACACTTTTCTTTGTTCATCTTCTAAATACAATTTATTTTTTCTTAGATATAATTCTATTCATTCAATTCGATCGTCATTTTTCAGTACATGATCGTAATTTTCAATTATTGATCGCGATTTTACTTCAGAATTTGTTCGCAATATTGCTTATCAAAATTATATCTCTATTCTCTCATTTCTGTTTAGTCAATATCATTACACTCCTATTGTCTAATAACATGCTATTAATTTTCTTAAAATTAAAAAAAAAATATCAACTTTTAAAAACAGAAACTTAACATCCTTAGGTCAATGGATTTTGATGTGAGATACATTTAATCTGTTTTTCTTTTTTTATTTTAAATAATTGAATATTTATAGTTGTTATGGGTCTTACATCGTGTAAAACGAATTTTCTTAAAGTAAATTTACTTTTTCTTCAATCTTTCTTACATATTTATTAAAAAAAAAATTATCCAAAAAAAGATGTTTTAGAATGAAAAAAAAAATAGAAAAATCTTCATTTATGGTCTTTCTTGAATGTATACGTTTTGATTTTTTTCTTTTTTAAAAAATTCAATTTCTAGAAAAATCGAGAAAAAATCATTTTCTTCTATTTTTTTAGGACGCCATACCCATTGAAATCTCCTTTCAGGACGCCATAAACTATTCAATTATGGTGTACACTTCTCAAAAATTGAATAGTTTACATCAGGACGCGTTAGGACGCCAACCCTTTACGCGCCCTTAATATTACATTCAAAATTTTGATTTCACAGAACAAAAAGCACAAGACTTGGTAGCAATTCTGTTAAAAATTCGTGCTCATGCAATATTTTGAGAGGATTGATTGATATATTAATTCAATAAACGAAATGCTTAAAAAGGATTAATATTAGGATGGTACACAATAGCTAACTAATTTTACATACCCGAGAACATTGACTGATTTTTAATTGAAACAAGGATATACCAATAGTCTTATTTGTTGGGACTAAGACTATGCATACGTTCAAAGATTCTCATTGTTTGATAAAGATTGCCTTGATAGGAAAAATAGCATTGATTCAAAACTAACTCTTTGAAAACCGATGATTCTAAGGTTTATTAGAAGATGCGTTTTGCCTTATTACGTCATATTATGTAATTAGATTCAATCTATTTTAGTCAATGATTCTTTCCAACGTATTGCTTTTTTTCAACAAATATTTTATGTAGTTTACATAATAATTAAAATAAAATTGTTAAAAAAATATGTATCTAGCAATACGGTAGAAATATGAGAAATAATAGGTTCATTCAATTATTTTGGTTATGATTTTGTGAGCCGAAACAATAACTCGATCAAACTCCGTTTTCTGTTATATTGCCCAACTAAAAGAATGGCGCTATGAAATTATGAAGCCAATGTTTCTGAGGATAGTATAAAATTGAAAGCAAATAACCGGCGATCGAATTAACTGCTAATTTTGGGAAATATATTTTTAGATAACAAGATTTTCTTAGCATTCTCTTTTCTGAGTGAATTCTGAATAAATTGTCAATAGAAATAGTTAATAGTTTTCTATTTGGTGGCTAAAATAAAATATGTTTCAGAGGAAATTTTTTTTAGACTCAAAAAAATTCAATTTGAAAATTTTTCAAAGCCCTAAAAAAAGATTAAGCTATGGCTCATGTACATTTTGAGGCGAGCTTAGCTCCATTTACAGAGAAACCTCTATTTGAATATAGCATCCCACTTATCGATAGACAAGTTCCTGGAATTAATATCGAAGCAAGAAATGATTTAATAGCAATCATGAAAGATTACATTCAAAAACGTATTACATACGAATCAGCGCGTGACAGATTTATTAAGATCACTGGAAGTTCCACAGCAATTGATAAAATACGAGATGTAATTAAAATTCCGGATCAGCCAATTAAAAATCAAGAGCTTCCAGATGACCCTGATGGCAAGAATCGTCGAAAGATGCAAAAATGGTCAACGTATGAAGATAATCGTCTTTTAGCTGCAATATACCGCTTCGGAATTGATAACTGGGCGCTCATTTCCAAGTTTGTTGGAAATAATCGCAGCCGCGCTCAATGCGCTCAACGTTGGACTCGCTGCCTTAATCCAAGAATTTGCAAGGAAACTTGGGAACAAAATGAAGATCAACTTCTTCTGAACTTAGTTGCCAGGTTTGGAGATCATTCTTGGACAAAAATTGCAGAGTACATGGGTAACCGCTCAGATGTTCAATGCCGTTATAGATATTCACAGATAAGCAAAGATAATCCTGCAAATCAAGAAATTCATCGCGTTGCATTCCCATCAATGATGCAGAATCGCGCAATGGATTCAGCTGCAATTCCTCTTCAGCAGCCGAAAATTACTCCAATGCAATTTCAACACAGATATTCTATGCCTGTTATACAAGTTATACATACTTATGTTTATCAACAACCGCAGATGCAGGCACAGGGTATGGTTCCAATGGGAGAAACGCCAGAAATGAATTCATCCCCAATTAATCAGCAAAATAATACAAATTCTAATGAATTGGATAATTTCTTGATAAATTTCCAGCACGACCAACATTAAATCTATTTTTAGCTTGTAAACTGTAATAATTTAATTTATTTACATAGCATTTTTTCAAAACATGAAATTCACTTTCAATATTTACATTTCAAGATTTACGAAATGTTAAAATCGTATTACTTGATATATTATTATTCATATTAAGATGATTTATTTGTTTGAAAATTTTGAGAAAATTCAAAATTGTTAATTATTTTCAGAATTTTTTCTTTTAGAATAGCGGTTGGATTGAATTTGTATATAAATGTGATTGAAAATAAAATAATATCGGTGAAAAGATATTTGTCATTCTATGGTATAGCCAAATAACATCTTAATTTTACCTTGTTATAGACCGAAAATAGATTTTTTCAGTTTTCTCTTCAAATAATTGAAAGAATGATACTATTATAGGTTTATTATATTATATAGCATATAATCATGCTATAGCCGAAAATTATAAGTTTTGAGAAGATTGAATATAACACAAATAAATTTGAATGTAAGTTAAATTGCTTGTTGTTTTTAATAGCTATTTAATGAGAAATCCAATATTGCAAAATTCAAATTGAATGATTGAAAGAACAGAAAAAGTCATTCTTTTCAATTTCGAATATGTTTCATTGTATTTATACTTATATGGCAAATAAGATATTTAAACTTGATTTTTGAAGGAAAATTCACAAAATTGAATAAATTCAAATAATTTTTATTCAAAAATAAACTAGTTATTTGAGTTTAATACTAATTATCTATTCAAACTACAAAGTTTGTAATTTAAAATATTTTGTGAGATCAGATTGAATTAATTCAAGGCTCTTTTCAATTAATATTAATGACCATATTACGCATTTTCGAACATTCTAAACCAAATATATAAAAATGGGAGACGAATGTTAAATTTGCTAGACATGGGGGAGTTGTTTACCGAGTTTTAGCTCTTATCTCTAACAAAAAATTAATTTTTAAAAAAATGACCGAATACGTTTCACAGCGAGAAAAAAATAAAAGGCAAGATAGAATTTTCTAGACATAAAGAAGTTGTTTACGAGTTTTAGCTCTTATCTCTAACAAAAAATTAATTTTTAAAAAAATGACCGAATACGTTTCACAGCGAGAAAAAAATAAAACTGTACACTGATTTTAATTTTCATTTCCAGTCACTTTACTTATTATTTTTTCTTTTTTTCATTTTAATTATAAATTATTTCATAATACGTTATTTACGTTACCATTTTCTTTATTCTTTTTGAATTCCATACTAGACACTTATAGAATATTTTGATTGTTAACGTACTTCATTAGAATGAATCCTTACAAAGGGTATGTCGATCGAATTTACCTAATTGGTATTTCCAATCAGATTGAAGAAGGTAAAATGACATGGGAAGAAGCTTGCACCCATGTTCCCATCGCCCCAACCCTTCAATCAAATGATTTCAAATATTTAGATGTTTCAAAATCTTTTTTACAAAATCAATTTAGCTTACAAAATATCCCATTGCCTAAAGGCAAGAAAGGTCGTAGGGTCAATCCCTACGACCAAATCAAAGCTCTTGCTGTGATACATGACCACTGGGCCTTTCCCTGTGGTCAAACAAAACAATGGAAACGTTTGAAATTACAACAAATTGATGTATCTTATAGAGAAGTACGCAGATACTTCAAAGAAAATCATTTCACCAAGACGCGATTAGAGCATGCCGGGCCAGAAACAGCAGTAAGATATTGGGCGCTTTCACCCAATCTTATCTGGCACGCAGATGTTCATTATTTTAGGGTGTTCGTGGCCAGTATATTTATGGCATAATCGACGATTTTAGCCGCAAAGTCCTAGCGTGTATACAAATACCAGATATGCTGGCAGCGACGACAGCGAACGTTGCGGCTTCCGCCTTCATTGAATTTGGCGCCCCTTATTGTTTCTGGACCGACAACGGTTCAGAAAATAGGGGCGCCTTTCAAGATCTACTTGATCTTTGGGGCGTCCAATGGCGGCATACAGACTCTCATTCTCCCTACCAAAATGGGAAGATTGAGAGATTCTGGCCGACGTTGGAGCGCTGCCAAAGCATTCAGGCTATTTCTGCCTTTATTTGGGAGTACAATAATAACACACCGCATGAAGATCTCCCAATTAATCCATTAACTGGAACAAATTACACGCCAAATCAAATGTATCAGCTGAAACCGAAATACACAAATGCAGATACAGAAAGGTTGTGGCAAATATGGGATACAGATACAGGCATGACCGCTGTTGACACATTCACAGCGTAATAATAAACATAATTTTTTAATTTCATTTTTAACAAGTTTTTTTAAATGTATGTAATGAATAATTCATTAGAATATGATAATGCACATTGTAACAGAATAGAACAATCACCAAATTTTTTTTTGAAATTAAAAAATAAAAGTAAAAAGTATAAAGTAATCTAACTAAAAAAGATATTTAAAAGAATTTTGGAAAAAACAGAATAAGGATAGTGATATTATTTTAGATACACAATTGATGTACTGAAGAATAATCCGGTAAAATGATGATATAAAATTAGATTATTTTACAAGTAGCTAAAAAAATAAAACTATAATATAAAATAAATGAAGTTTAATGAAACAATAAAGGTTAAATAAATAATAAAGATTTTTATTTTATATCAGTATTGAGAAGAAGTAACAGCTGACACTTGGTAGACAAATTCTTTATGTCTAGAAAATTCTATCTTGCCTTTTATTTTTTTCTCGCTGTGAAACGTATTCGGTCTTTTTTTTAAAAATTAATTTTTTGTTAGAGATAAGAGCTAAAACTCGGTAAACAACTTCTTTATGTCTAGAAAATTCTATCTTGCCTTTTATTTTTTTCTCGCTGTGAAACGTATTCGGTCATTTTTTTAAAAATTAATTTTTTGTTAGAGATAAGAGCTAAAACTCGGTAAACAACTCCCCCATGTCTAGCAAATTTAACATTCGTCTCCCATTTTTATATATTTGGTTTAGAATGTTCGAAAATGCGTAATATGGTCATTAATATTAATTGAAAAGAGCCTTGAATTAATTCAATCTGATCTCACAAAATATTTTAAATTACAAACTTTGTAGTTTGAATAGATAATTAGTATTAAACTCAAATAACTAGTTTATTTTTGAATAAAAATTATTTGAATTTATTCAATTTTGTGAATTTTCCTTCAAAAATCAAGTTTAAATATCTTATTTGCCATATAAGTATAAATACAATGAAACATATTCGAAATTGAAAAGAATGACTTTTTCTGTTCTTTCAATCATTCAATTTGAATTTTGCAATATTGGATTTCTCATTAAATAGCTATTAAAAACAACAAGCAATTTAACTTACATTCAAATTTATTTGTGTTATATTCAATCTTCTCAAAACTTATAATTTTCGGCTATAGCATGATTATATGCTATATAATATAATAAACCTATAATAGTATCATTCTTTCAATTATTTGAAGAGAAAACTGAAAAAATCTATTTTCGGTCTATAACAATCTTAATTTTACATCGTAAAATTGCATTCAAATTTAAATTCGTCAATATTATATCATATGAATAAAAGTTTAATTGACTCATAATTTTTTTTTCATTGAATTAATTAATTTCAATAATATCAGTTAGTAGTTTAAAAAGCCAATTGAATCTCGAGCGATTATTGCTCTCTATCCAAACAGTACTAACAAAAAGGATATGTATCAATTGAAATCCAACGAAGGGCTATATTGAATATTGTGAATATTGACAGCATTTAGCTTTGCTAAGTACATTATATAACTATTAGATGAAAAGATTCTATATTTCTTATTATCAAATTGAACTTTCAGCTTATAATCCAGAAAAACTCAAAATCGAAGAAAATGTTATTTAACTTATGTATACTTCAAGCAGTGACTTGTAATATTTTCACTATGCAATTCCTTCCATCTAAACAACTTATTATTGATTACTTTTAATATTGGTCCTATCAAAAAAAAATGCCATGAGATTTTTTTTTTATTTTTTTATTAAAAATGATTTCAGGAAATGTTATTGTAGGTATTGATTTAGGTACATCAAATACATCTTGTACATTTGAGCAGAATGGTAGCCCAGAGATATTAAGATTTAATGGTGCTTCTCTTTTACCTTCTTATATATTTGAACAATATGATGAAGATAAAAAGAATATATCCAATGCAATGGGTCCTACTATTAGAGATTTAGCTGCAAGCTACAATAAAAAGTTACTATTTGGAGCCAAAAGACTACTTGGAAGAAATTTTGATCATGAAAAAGTTCAAGAGTTCATTAAAATACACAAGGACAAGGTAGATATAGTTAATCAAGATAATAAACCTCTTTACAAGATTACATTTGAAGATTACAATAAAACTTACTACAAAAAACCAGAAGATGTTTCTTCCGATCTTTTAGGCTTCGTAAGAGAAACATTCGCTAAATGTCATGGTTCCCAAATAGATGCATGTGTTATTACAGTCCCTGCAAATTTCAATACAAATCAAAGAAGAGCAACTCAAAATGCTGCACAGAAAGCAGGCCTTAACTGTTTACGACTTGTTAATGAACCTACAGCCGCCGCATTTGCATATAAACAATCCCTTGATGAAGTGACTTTAAGGGAAAATCAAACAATTATAGTTTTCGACTTCGGTGCTGGTACTTTAGATGTTTCCGTTGTAGTTTTTAATAACAATGACTTTGTTGTAAAATACATAGAAGGCAATAGCGACCTTGGTGGCCAAGATTTTGATAATATTTTGTATGAATATATCAAGGAACAGTTCAAAAAACAGTATAAAGACGTAACTGATGCAGATATTAACTACAGAGCAGCTAATTTACTCATGCTTAATGTTGAAAAATGTAAAATTGCTTTAAGTGCAACAAAAAGATACGATATCGTAGTACAGCCATTTGCGAAAGGTATAGATTTGAATATGAAAATCATCCAAAGCAAATACCAAAGTTTAATTGAAGATAAAGTTTATCAAGCCCAAGATGTTTTAGCCAAAGCAATTAAAGGCGCCAAAATAGATCCTAACTCAATTACAGCTGTTATTCCAATTGGTGGAACATGCAGAACACCTTTAGTTGCTGAAATGTTAAATTCATTCTTTAATGGCGAAGACAGTAAGAAATACGGCATCGTGTTCAATAAACCAATCAACATTGTTGAGAAATTAAGCTTCGAACATTCAGTTTCTGATGGCGCATATTATATTGCAAAATTACTTGCATCAGGAAAAGAACTTGGTGACAAAGTTGAAACTAGAAAAGTTTCAAAACCTAAACCAGCACCGATTTTCCAGGACAAACTTGCAAATTACGTTGGAATGATGATGGCAGATGGAAATCCTTGGTGGGTGTTCCCTAACGGAGCTCCTTTCCCACTGGAAGATAATGTTCCTGTCCTAAATGACCCTTGGAAACACTCAATGTCCTTTTCCGTCATTGAAGGTAAAAAAGATGATAAACAATTCTCAAGAATCATAAAAGTACAGGTAGATAATATACCTGAAAGTGCAAAACATTTAATAACAACCCTCAAATATGATGAAAATGGAATTTTGGAAGTAAGATTAGCAGATAAAACAACAGGATTCGAAAAATTCGTGAAAATAACAAACGAATTTCAATGTTCACCTGAGGAAATACAATCATCCAGAAGAGCTAATGATGAGAACGTTGATTTGAATATTCTTGAACATAATTTCAGGAAAAAATTGGATAATCTTAAATCAAAGGTAAATAAAGAGAAAAGAAAGGCTTCAAATAAAAAGCCTTATAATGATTTGCTTAATAGAATTGATGAACTTGATGATGAATCACAGGAAGAATTTGATCATAAAAATCATCCAAAAATATTAGATGAAATCGAAAGAGATTTCAAATCCTTGTAAAAATCCTATATTATGTTCTAAATTTTTAATTTATTTTAAAACACCTAAATAATGTAGTTTAAGTACTTATGGTAAACTTTCTGCCACTAGACATGTAGTTTAAAATGCATGTGATCGAATAATTATGTCTTTATCATTGGAAACAGAAATGAAAATCGAATTTCAAAAATTGTCACTTTTTTGAAAGAGAAAAGTTTTCATGAAATTGTTTTGGATTGAAAATAGACCATTTGTTAAAGAATCTATGGTAAATCATTCAAACATTATGTTTTTATAGGAAATAATGTTCTATATAAAGCTTATTACTTATGTTTCCATTAAGAAATCTTACGAAAGATAACGAAAAAGAACAAGATGAAAAAACTTAATGTCACTTTTTTGTGAAATTATCTTGTGCATATTATCGCTATTATCTATAGATATTGATTGAGTATATAGCAACTAACTGAATAGAAGAACTGGATTCTTACAATATTTACTTTTAGTTCATGCGTGATGAGCAGAAAAGAAGCAATAACGTCTCCATAGATAAAAAAGAAGTGTCACTTTTTGTGCATGCTCAAGATTTTACTCATATCCAGAATCAATATTACAATGATTTAAAATGCATAAAAAATGATTCAAAGTAATTATTTTCTAGTAGAAGATAACAAAACCTCAAGCTATGTAGAAAGAACATCAGCTGGAGACTATTTTATTCATAATTCTGAGTTTAATAGTCTCATTAATCGAGCAATTTGCATATCATCCAACTCATATCAAACAAGATTACTCTCTCAGGAAAGTAGGTTTACAAAATGTAGTTATTCCTCTTATCAAGGAGGATCGATTTATTTTGGCACAAAAGGTTCATGTGCATTAGTAAAAGTATGCGCTACAGAGTCGAAAAATTCTGGTAGAGATAACGGCGGTGTTTTTTCGTATCAAATTGTTTCTCAAGACGCCTCTACTATAAATTTAATCGATTTGAGTACAATATTCAACTGCGGTGTAATAGGTGACGGAAATAATATGATTGAATTTATCAACGGAAACGTAACTCTCAGTAATACGAATGAAAGTCAAAATTTGACTCCTGTTGATCCATTTTATGAAATTATTAATGCAACTACGACAGAAATAAAGTACTGCGAATTCGAAAATGCTTCCCATGCAGTATATCATACCTTGGCATATGTTTCTTCTCCAGGAATTTTGAAAAGTTGTAATGTTGTAAATTGTAAAGTGTCAGATGTTCAAGGAATTTTTTATGTTGGTAAAACTTCAATTTCTTTGACTAATTGTGCGATTTTACAACATGAATGCAATGTTTATTTTTATATATGCGAATCTTTTTCAGTAACTCTAATAAATTGTGCAATTGATTGTGGCCCAACAGGTTTTAGTACTTGTAATAGCCCATCTAACAAGTATAATACTAACCAAATAGGAAAGTCTTCCTTCCTCAATCAATTATCATTATTAGATTTTCAAATCTGTTTGAAAGACGATTTTTATGAAGTTCATTCTAAAATTTGCATTACGAATATGTTCATCAATTTCGGTTGTATGCCTAGTTTCTACGTATTCACTTTAATTTGTATGTATTCTTTATAAAAAATTATAAGATATTTTATGTTTTTGAAGTAATCAAGCAAACTAAGCAGCAGTGCTATATACTATAAAAGGAATGTAATAAATAGCTTTTTGATATTACTTTGTTTAGAGTTGGATAATAACTTTAAGTAGATATACGAATTTACACATTGTAGCTATGTGGAATCTCTTAGAGAATTAGTTTACTTACTTATTTCACATGGCGAAGATATAAATGCAAAAAGTATGACTGGTTCAACTCCTCTTCAAGTAGCAACTAAAAAAAGAAAATTGAGAAACTGGAGAAGTTCTTGCTTTGTATCATAGAGAAAGACTCAGCTTTCAATTTTGCACAATAGCAAACTTTATTTCAGTCTATGATCTTATTAACATAGTATTACCATATTTGTATCTTTTGTTATCTATTTATTGTATGTCTAATAAGATGTAAATATTATTTCTTGTTTATTTTATGACAATTCAATTTTTTATTTTTACCCTTGTTTCCTTTTTAAATTTAAGCGATGTTCTGGTTTATTTTCTTCAATAAATTGGCCTTATATGGTTGATTTAAGATAATTTTGGTTCTAAAATTTGAATGCTGATTTCATTGATCTTTCTTCATCTTGATGCTGATGTTGAAAAGATGCAGGCTGTGAAAGATGCATTCAAATTTGCATGGGATGGATATAAAAAATGTGCCTATGGCCATGATTTTCTTATGCCTAAGACATGCAACGCAAGTCATTGGTTGAATGGTACCATAACACTTATTGATAGTCTTGATACACTATATTTAATGGGTTTTCATGACGAATTAGATCAAGCAATTGAATATTTAGAAACAAATTACACAAATCAAGCATCAGGTTCTGTATTTGAACTTATTATTCGTAATGTTGGAGGATTGGTATCTGCATATGAATTAACTTCTCGTCCAATTCTCCTAGATCTTGCAATAAATTTTACGAAATCTCTACTAAAAGCATTTGATACTCCCACAGGATTACCAATGCCAAATATAGATACAAGGTCTGGTAAAGCTTCGACATGGGGATATGCTCCTCGCTCTACTTTTTTGGCCCACGCTGGATCTTTAGCGCCTGAGTTCATGGCATTATCTGAACTTAGCGGTGATGATACATTCAAAAATGTGTCTGATACCATTATGAAGTTCTTTTTCGACCAGCAGCGTTTCCACGGTCTTTGGCCACATCGAATTGACTATTCTACAGGGGTTTTCGGGGACATTGATATCGGATTTGATGCATACGGAGACTCTTTCTACGAATACCTTTTGAAATTATATCTTCTTACGAACAAAAAATGCGTTTCATGCGGAACTCTTTATTCTATGAGCATTCAAGGCATGAAAGACTTTCTCACACGTCATACAGCAGAAGGAATATACGTAGGTACCATACAACATGGTTTAATCGATGATACAATCACTCATTTGTCATATTTCATTCCCGGAATGCTCGCTTTAGGCTCATCGTACATCAATCAAGACGATTTAGATTACGCTATTGATATTACTAAGACTTACGAGAAATGGTATTCAACAAAATCAAATTTATCTCCAGAATCGTTTTCTCTCAAGACATATCCTATGAAAATCATTGATCCATCATACAAACTACGTCCGGAATTCATAGAAAGTCTTTTTTACCTTTACAGATTCACAGGAGAAAATCATTACCGCGAAAAAGGCTGGGAGATCTTCCAAAGCATTGTTAAATACTGTAAAACAGAATACGGATTCGGGACACTCATAGATGTTGAAAATCCTGAAAAAGGAGTTGAAGATATCCAAGATTCTTTTTTGTTGTCAGAAACATTCAAATACGCGTACCTGTTATTCGCAGATTCTGATACAGTTAATCTTGACAAGTTTGTTTTTACAACTGAAGGCCACATTTTGAGGAAATTTAATGAGAAGTGGATTGACGAGAAATACAAGAATGAACAATGGTTTTATGACTTGGATGAGGTTGTTAAACCTTTCAAGTCCGTAGAACTTTAATAATCTTGAATATAATTTTAATTATTTTGTTTATTTGTAAATAAAAGCTTTTATAGATCTGTTAGATGTATTAAATATCTCAGTAGTTTATTAGATATTTTGTTTTAAAAACAAAAACTTAATTTTCAAATTTATTAACGAAATCTATTCATTTTTGTAAATGAATGTTTAATACCATGTCTAATAAAACCAATGATTTCACTTAATAAACGAAAATTTATGGTTTTACAGATTTAATATTATATTTCAGCTAATGCTTTTTAAAAAGCTCAAAAAGTATAGTGAGACTTTGATCAATCTAAATCAATATATTTTTTTCAAATTTGATTTATTTTGAGTAATTTGAGGAATTTTTGAGTCACAACTTCGCAATCAACCTAAACTATTGTTTGTTTATGGTTCCAGGAAAATAATTCACCTTATAGAGTTTTTATACTCTTTTTTCAATTTTGAAACAAACACACAATTTAAATGGAACATCGAAGGATTATAACAAGTTTTTATGTGTTTTATTAGTTGTTACATGTGATAGACTGTACGTATACTTAATTAGAATAAGTAAAATCAATTCTACAACATGTTTATGCATAAATATTCTCTCAAAAAGGATTCAAAGATATATATAATCAAGATGAATGTATTATGAGATTTATTTTGAATAACTTTGGTTGTGCAATGGAAATAACATCAATTGCCGATTTTCTCAACGGAAATTTTATGCAATTTTTTATGTGTATATCGCAATTAATACTCGATTTCAGATTTGGAAATTGTGTGTATTAAAAAAAAAAAAAAAAAAAAAAAAAAAAAAAAAGGTAGTGGGGCTTCCAGGCACTTCGTGCCTTCTAGCCCTGATGTTGATGTTTAGTATAAATGAAGTTTTTATTCGGAGGACTCTTCTTCTTCCTCCATTGCTTCTGGGAAGAAGCCTTCTTCTGGGTCGAAAACATTATATAATGTGTCGCTTTTCACAAATTATATATGTTTTCATGTTTTGTCACTTTTCTGTCACTTTTCGGGTAAAAACATTTTTATTATTATATATAAATGAATTTTACAAAACCACCGTTACCGTTCTTTGGAAATAAGAGTAGATGTAAAGATATTATATTGAGAGAACTTAAGAAACTACCGAATGGTCTAACATTTGTAGATTTGTTCGGTGGAAGTTTCTATATATCCCATTTATGTCATATAATATTCCCAGACTCAAAGATTATATGCAATGACTTCGACAACTATATGGACCGTCTCAAACATATTCCAGACACAAACAAAATATTGAAAGAGTTAAAAGAAAAGATACCTATAGGTAAGATGGAACGTATACCATTAGATAAGAAAAATATTGTGAGAGAGGTTTTGAAAAAAGCAGAATATATAGACTGGAATAGTATATCTGCTAGACTATTATATAGTGGTGCTATAAGAGTTCATGACATTGAAACACTTATGTCAAACGTTTTATATCTTAACTATACAAATGTTTTCAAAGAGGACATAGAAAAATATATTGAGGGTATAGAGTTTGTGAGATGTCATTGGACAGATTTGTATGAAAAATATAAAGACAAGGAAAATGTTTTCTTTATAGTGGACCCGCCGTTCTATAACACATGGGATTTTCAATACCAAGTAGACTGGACTTTGAGAGACTCTTTAGAAACTTTAGACGTTTTACATAACCATCCATGCTTTTACTTTACATCCGATAAAAGTGGTTTGGAAACCGTTATGAGATGGTTAGAGGACATACATGACTATGAGTTTATATATGACAAGATAGAATATGAGAGAGGTCCTATAAACTGGAGAAAGTGTCATAACAAAGAAATTTTATTAGTAAGTAAATGTGGTTTGAAATCGGACTACTTGTTTTAGGTTTTTTCCATTGTGTCATTTATTTATTTGACGTGGCAGAAAAGTACAGAGAATATGAAGATGAACCAATGCCTGCAAATGTTCAGTATATGTACTCGTAAGAGATATTTTTATCTAATATTAAATGGACGCACAGAACTTAGCGAATGCACAGCAACCTGGACAACCAAACCCAGAGAATATTCCAAATGAAGTTAGAATACAAACTGCAATGGCAAACTATGGTCAAGTGCCAACAGATGTACAAATGCAAACTGCCATGTCAAATGACGCTGCGTTAGGTTTGCCACCATGGTATGCAAATATGAGATGGAAAGAGTTTTATACAAACCCTGAAGTGGGATATAAACAACTCTATGCAGATGACGCGAACACAGGAGTTGACCCAGAATATGTTTTCTACCAGAGGAGAAACAGAATGTATGAGCTCCAGTTAAAGAATGCTATGGAACTCAACAGGAAACGTAAGAGACTAGGCGGACATTAGATTTTTACATATAGTAAAATGGGTTTCTTCAGTAAGATAGGAAACTTCTTTCGAAATGTTGGAAGAGGTATATGGAATGGAATAAAAACCGTAGGAAGAGGAATTTGGAACGGAGTCAAAAATATTGGTAAAAGAGTAGGTCAGTTCGGTATTATACCTAAAGACCCCGAACCAGAAGAACAAGCTCCTGTTATACAACAGCCTGAACCTGCACCACAGTCTAGTTGGCAACCAAATCCAACACCTCAACCGTATTAAAAAATTATATTTTTACCGTTCGATAGTAGTTGTATATGAAACTAAGTTCTAAGTAAAACGCATGGTATAATGGAATTATTCTTTTTCTTCCATCTGTAGTAAACCATACTTGAAAGTCTGAAATACTTCCACTTGGTGGTTCGTATAACTTTGTAGGTTTTTCGTAAAAGTCATTTGCCAAGCATAAGAAAGAGTTTTGAGCGCCAGAAAATGAAGCATGAACAATAATAGCAGCTGGGTCGAAAACATCTTTAAATAAATATGGTTCATCTCTTGCATATCGACTGTAAATATTTGCTAAAGGAAGTTCGACTTTCTGATTTAAATTCTTTGCAATAATACCATGACATTGCAGTGATTCTGTATATATTTGTTCGTCTTTCTTTGGATTGTCTTCGTAATTTGAAATGACACTTGTGAATTTTGTTTGTCATATACAATTCTCACATAAAGTGTGCTCTCGGTATTTGCATATTCATCAGCATATTTTGCATAACATGAATTTATTTTATCTTCTATATTTTTTAACGCAGTCTGTAGAGAAGATGAAAGGTCAACTTGTATTAGCTCAATTTCTTCCCACATTTTTCGTTTCCCTTCAGATATATAATCTATATGAAACCTTACAATAAATGGAAAACTTTTATCTTCTACAGACACAAACTTCATTCTACGAAAGCCAATAGCTTTTGTGACAGATGGGTCTCTTAGCCATCTTAATGGGTAGTCAAAACGATAGCCTTCATGCTTTACGGTCTCTGTCTCAAACTTTTGACCGACATTAGTAAAAAGTTCATCTAATGGTTTAGTTGTAGCAACTCTTGAATTTTCTTTTTCTATTGGAAGCATATTTTATCTAGAAAAAAATGTCGAAAGATATTGCTTCCATGAGAGAAATACAACACAACCGACACTCATTATGCAAGCTCTAAATAAGAACAAACAAACTTTTCAAACTATTCTAAGATATCTGAGTCATTGAAAGAAGGAAACTTAAAACTGACATTAAACCCAATGACAGATAGTTTCTGTTCAAGACAATAAGAACCATACTGTCTGTATAAATCCAACAAAAAGGAACTTTAAACGAGAAACCTATAAATGAACTTCTTTTGAAAGCAGATGTTGACAACAAAGCTGACAAAGAATATGTAGACGATGCAATAGCAAAAGAAAGAAAGAGCTAACAATGCTTATGCAACAAAGAACATACTCATCCTGAACTAGCAGACAAAACATATGTTGACAATAAAATGTCAAGTGAAGTGACAAGAGCTGAAAACGAATATTCTAAAAAGACTCATACACATTCTATATCTGAAATAACAGACTTAAACGTTAGCCTTGAAAAGAAAGCGGATAAGGAATATGTGGCTAGTAAGTTAGAGAAGAAAGCAGATAAGGAATATGTGGATGAAAAAGATAACGAAATGAAAGAAAGGGTTGACTGGTACCATGAATGGACATCGAAGATTTTAAAAACTAAAGCCGATACAGGATGGGTTTCAGGATGTTTAGACCTTAAAGCAGATAAAACTTATGTTAACGATGAGTTAGAGAAGAAAGCAAATAAGACTCATACACATACAAGTTTTACAACTGTTGCTATAGAAAGTATTGAAGGAACGGTTGAAGAAACTGGTGGGGATGTATTGTATTGGAAACCTCCTAACTTTCCACAAGGTTTAACATCGGAGGAAGACATAACGACGATGAAATACATTAGATGTAAAGATGTTTATGTCATGAAGGATGAACATAATATTAAATTCACTGCTCAAGATTTATATGACAAGAAAGCTGACAAAACAGAGCTTCAAACATTAAAGACAGAAATACTTCAAACAGTATATCCTATAGGTTCTATTTATACGTCAATGAACTCTACCAGACCAGAAGTAGTACTTGGTTTTGGAACTTGGACTCAAATAGTCGACAGGTTTTTGTATTGTGCAAACTCTTCAAAGGAAACAGGTGGAAGTAAAACGATTTCAGGTGAAAATTTACCTGCGCACAGTCACTACATAGATTTAAGTACATCTCAAGCAGGTTGGCATAAGCATAGATATTGGGATTGGTCAGCAATGACAAAAGGTAAAGGATATGATGTTAAAGACAACGTTAAGTTTGCTATAGATTGTTACTGGAGTAACACTGAGGGAGGAGGAAACCATACACATCGCGTTTCGGGATATACGCAAACAACTGGACAAAGTAAAGAATACATGCCACCTTACATGACAGTTTACGCATGGTATAGAAATGCTTAGTCGTCATTTTCAACTTCTTTAGCATATTCGTCAGGAGTTGTCTTATATTTGTTAGGAACTGTCTTTGAAAGTATACCACCTTGAACTTTGACAAGTTTGAAACGAGGTCTGACAATAGTAGTTTTATCTTCTGCTTGCAGTCTGTACATTTTGCCATGTTTGCCTAAAACTTCATAATATTCTCTTGTATACTTTCTTCTATTTTTACGAACACGAATGTGAGTACCTGTCGGGTACTTGTTGTTGTCATAGTCAATAGTATTTTCATATGGGTCGCGTTTAGGTATTTCTATTTTTTACTTTGTCACCTTTCTGAAGTTTGAAGCCGGCATTCTTTCTTGTTTGTCTCTTTTGACTAAATTATTAAATATATAGTCTTTCTCTAAGTCAGGGTTGTTTTTCATTTCTTCGGGGAGTGGTTTCCCAAACCTTTTGTTTACGGCTATTGTAAATATTTAAAACTTGTCTCATCTTTGCCATGGAGAAGTGTCTATACTTGTCGTCATATGACATTTCATTTGCTTCACCACCTTGTGGTTGGTTTTAAGTCTCTTAAGATTTTTATACAACTGTCAATGACACCAAGAGCAGATGGTTTTGGTCGACAATGAAATATTGGTTTACATTTTTTGAACGCAGATAGTTTTTTACATCATCTGATTTGAAAGAACTTTCACAGTCAGATGTCAGTTTTGTTGGATGGTATTTGTCAACGAATATTGTCAAAGCAGTTTTCACATCTAAAATATTTTTGGACTGTAATGGTATGGCTTCACAGTATCTTGTGTTTTGACCGACAAATATTAGCCAGTATGGTGGTCCATCTGTTCTAACTCTCGGAATGTTTTCCAAGATATCCATAAACCAAGCATTTGGTGTTGAACTAAAGATTTTTACCATGAGTGCTTTCTTTGTCGCTTTAGAAACATAGGGGTCCTTGTTTGGATTCGTCATTTTTATCCTATAAGAAATGGGTTTATTTGGCGCATTAGCAGGAGTTGCATCCAGATTTTTGCCCGCAGTGGGAATAGCCAGAGGTGTATTTGGAATTGGAAGGAAGATTTTGAGTACATTAGGTATACTTAAAGAGAAAGCAAACCTATTATACAAACTGTACAGAAAGGTTGGGATGTAGCACGAGATGCAACAAATCTTATTCCAAATCCTGAAACAAGAGGAAAAGTTCAAGGATGGATGGACAATGTAGGAAGACAAGCAGGAAACTACTATAACAAAGCAAATGACTACTATAACCAAGCAGGGCACTATATGGACCAAGGTGAAAGATTCTTTAACAGAGGATATAACCATGCACAACAGTGGGTAAACAATAACCAACCGCAACCACCTCAAACTTGGGGGAATGTAAAGTTTTTTACTGAGATGAAATGAACAATACAGCATTGAGACAAATGGGTTCAAGATGGATTTGTCGACTTCCAGCAGTTACACAACGTGTTTGTCAAGTTCTTCCTATACTCAGGAGTTTTAGACCCGACTTAAAAAACAACAACAACCAGTTGAAAAACAACCAAACTAAAATTTTTTACTGAGATGAAATGACCGAAGAAGTGAAACGGTAGATTTGACACCACAAACAAAAGTTCAGAACATTGTCAAAACCTGTCAAAGAACTTACAGATGAAGAGAAAAATTCAATAATAGAAAGTGCCAGGTCTGGAAATACAAACCCTAACTACAAGTCACTTTTCATAGAAATGGAACGGCTAGTATCTCAAAAAAGAAACAGACTCTCACAAATAAAATATTGAAGTCTGAAGGAGCTTTCGAGACAACAGATGGAAAAGTTTTACTTCACTGACAAACAGTTTCATTATAGAACATCTCATTGACTTAGAGTCGAAATATTCTAAACTTTACAACAAACCAAAAGTTGAAAGGAAAACAAAAACAAATGGATATGATTTACGAAGATGTTGACGACACAACCATACCTGCAAGTGAGGTAAAGTCAGAGGAACCAAAAAGTGACGAAAACCAATAGAAGAAGGTGAGCCAAAAACTGAAGATAAACCAAAACCAAAGTTTAGTTTGGAAACTACTAAAACAAGCCAACCTTTAGCTGGTATGGGTTGGCGTCAAAGGCTTATGGCAGCAGGTGGTTATGTAAAGTAAAAGAAAAACATTGCATGAAATAAAAACATTTTTTAAAAAATATATTTTTTTATTTATTTGAAATGTACGTTGAGTTTGTTGAAGAAGACCGTTGGGAAACTTGTTTGTTAGATGAGAAATATGAAATTCACTGTTCTGAGCCTTTTGAAGTCAGAAACAAAAAGACAAAAAGAGTTTTAAGCGAATGGGAGCAAAATGACGGATATGCTGTTATGAAGATGGGTGGAAAACACTATTTTAAACATGTTGTCATTGCAACTCATTTTATACCGAACCCTAACAATTTACCTTTTGTAGACCATATAAACCATATAAGAAGCGACAATAGACTTGAAAACTTACGTTGGGTCACTTGTTCTGAAAACAATAAGAACAGAGGCAAATTTGGAGATATTGTATTCGAATTTGTCGACGAACTAGAAGATGAAGCAATTGAAATTACAGACTATGGCAAGCATACGTTTGAGTTTTACTACTATAGCGAAGAACAAGACTCTTTTACTTTTATACCGGCGTAAACTATAGGAAATTACAAGTATGTTTTACTAAGGCAGGCTATGCTTATGTAAACACTAGAGATACAGATGGAAAAAACGTTCAAATACTTCTTAACAAATTCAAGAAGCTATATGGCATACTATTTTAAAACAATATATTTTTACATATATTAAATGCTTCAGGTTGAAAAACAAAGAACAAAAGTAGCAGATACAAAACCGTTAGACTATATCTTTACAAACGCCGGTAGGACTATATCAGATGAAGAAATTTCATCCCGTTCATACAGGTTTGACTATCCAATTCGTTGGCTTCAAAGTCCTTCAGATGCAAAGGCAATAGGATTTAGAAAAGTTTTGTTTTCAAAAAGAACTAACGCTTTTATGTTCGCAGTATATTTTCATGGGCAGTATGAAGGTTCTGATGGTCTAATAGACAAATTTGATGAAATGAGAATCTTTACAGTTCGTTCAGACGAAAGTCTTGAGAAAACTCTAAATGACTTTCAAACTCAAATAAACAAATACTACTGGGAATTTCAAGAAAAATACGACTCTTTACTAAATGGAACATACTATCTAAAACTAGAATACAACAAGATGAATTCCACCGTTTCATTTCAAAGGATTGAAATTAACCCTCCAAGAAGTACAGAGTTTTTATTTTGGGAAGTAGACAAACGTTCTTGGGCACAATTTCTTCGGTTACTAAACCAGAACGAACCATTACCACCTGACGGTCCGTTTAAATTTATACGCCACCAACAGATTTGACAGTTTATAGAAACGTGTTTGACCTCAAAATGTTATGTGTCATGCAAGTTTCAGTTCAAGCAACAATAGTTTCTATGTATTGGTAAGGACTTTATGACTTTGCTTCTAAATTCTACGAACCACCTAGTAACAGTTTCTCTGACTTTCAAGTTTGGTTCACAACAAATGGTGTGCAACATATTATTCCATTGTACTATGACTTTTATCTCGAATTGTCTTTCATATATAACTACGGAAAAGTGCTGAAAAAGTATTGAAAAATAATGTTTATGTTAGCATGTTAGATCTAACACGTTTTCTAACCTCATGAATTTGTCATGACTTCTTCGTAAATTTTTTGTCAAGACTTCTTCGTAAATGTTTTGTCAAGACTTCTTCGTAAATGTTTTGTCAAGACTTCATCGTAAATGTTTTGTCAAACATGAACGTAAATGTTTTGTCAAGACTTCTTCGTAAATGTTTTGTCATGACTTCTTCGTAAATGTTTTGTCATGACTTCTTCGTAATGAGTGTAAAGGACCCAAAAATAAAGTTTATGTTAGAATGTTAGATCTAACATGTTTTCTAACACGTTTTCTAACATGGTCTAAAACTCTCGAAAATCATGAAATTTACACCAAAAATAAAGTTTATGTTAGAATGTTAGATCTAACACGTTTTCTAACATGTTTTCTAACCTCATGAATTTTCATGACTTCTTCGTAAATGTTTTGTCAAGACTTCTTCGTAAATGTTTTGTCATGACTTCTTCGTAAATGTTTTGTCAAGACTTCTTCGTAAATGTTTTGTCAAGACTTCTTCGTAAATGTTTTGTCATGACTTCTTCGTAAATGTTTTGTCATGACTTCTTCGTAAATGTTTTGTCAAGACTTCATCGTAAATGTTTTGTCAAGACTTCATCGTAAATGTTTTGTCAAGACTTCTTCATCGTAAATGTTTTGTCATGATTTCATCGTAAATGTTTTGTCATGATTTCATCGTAAATGTTTTGTCAAGACTTCTTCGTATATGTTTTGTCATGATTTCATCGTAAATGTTTTGTCAAGACTTCTTCGTAATGAGTGTAAAGGACCCAAAAATAATGTTTATGTTAGAATGTTAGATCTAACATGTTTTCTAACACGTTTTCTAACATGGTCTAAAACTCTTGAATTTTCATGAAATTTACACCAAAAATAATGTTTATGTTAGAATGTTAGATCTAACATGTTTTCTAACACGTTTTCTAACATGGTCTAAAACTCTTGAATTTTCATGAAATTTACACCAAAAATAATGTTTATGTTAGAATGTTAGATCTAACATGTTTTCTAACACGTTTTCTAACATGGTCTAAAACTCTTGAATTTTCATGAATTTTCCCGAAATAAAAATAAAATTAGTTTTATTTTTTATTTTATTTATTTTTTTTATTTTGTATAAAAGACATGATTTCAACAATCGGCACAACAACAATTCAAACAACTACAGCACCAAACTCGCTAGTTATGAATCCAACATCTATGTTAGTAGAGATGAAAAACTTCATTCCTTCTTCATATACTTTCGAAACAAAAATCCAGAAGATAAAGCAAGAACTTTTAACAAGTAATTTAGACTGTAGTGCGAAAGATGAAACAAATGAACAGTATCTTTATGAAATGCAGGACATTATTGACCATTTACCCAAATTGCCTGAAATCCAACAACAAAAACTAACCATTCCCGAATTTGACGAAATAGAAGTCAAAGCAACTGACTCAGTAGAAATAAAGAAGTTCATACGAAAGGTAAATTATGAATTCCTTGGTTTTCATTGCAACCATAAGGTTATGGACAAAGATTGCGACATGGTATATAAGAACATCTCTGACCTTTACAAATCCGAAGAATTTAAGACCTACGACAACTTTGTTTCGTTAGTTGCAAAATGTGTTTGGGAAATAAGAGATAAAGATAGTAGGGGTAAGGTATGGAACGAACAAATAAAACCCGCTATGTTTGAGATGAAGAAAACCATTGACGCCTTGGTTGTTTTAGCAGGTAAGGTTTCAGAATATAACGCAAAAATGAACCCGCAATGTTCAAAATGTAAAGCAGCAATGAGGAAATATAACTACTCCGTCAAAGAGATAGAACGTATGCGAAACGACTATGCAGATTTAAAGAAAGAAGCAGAAAAACCAGCAGAAGATAAAATGAACATGTTAGAATTTCTGAACAAAAACTATCCAACAGCAGAAGATTTCCTTCTATCTGACGTCAAGAAGAAATATAAAGAAACCTTCGGTATCGTTAAAACTTTTGACATACTAAAAGAAGAAATAGAAGCTACGAAATTGTTTAGAGTCATGAACCATCGCAACATATACCATGTAAAACGCTTGTAAATAGTTATGTTAGAAAACATGTTAGATCTAACATTCTAACATAAACATTATTTTTATTGAATTCCGTATGAAATTTCATGAGTTTTGTATGTTTTAGACCATGTTAGAAAACATGTTAGAAAACATGTTAGATCTAACATTCTAACATAAACATTATTTTTATTGAATTCCGTATGAAATTTCATGAGTTTTGTATGTTTTAGACCATGTTAGAAAACATGTTAGAAAACATGTTAGATCTAACATTCTAACATAAACATTATTTTTATTGAATTCCGTATGAAATTTCATGAATTTTGTATGTTTTAGACCATGTTAGAAAACATGTTAGAAAACATGTTAGATCTAACATTCTAACATAAACATTATTTTTATTGAATTCCGTATGAAATTTCATGAGTTTTGTATGTTTTAGACCATGTTAGAAAACATGTTAGAAAACATGTTAGATCTAACATTCTAACATAAACATTATTTTTATTGAATTCCGTATGAAATTTCATGAATTTTGTATGTTTTAGACCATGTTAGAAAACATGTTAGAAAACATGTTAGATCTAACATTCTAACATAAACATTATTTTTATTGAATTCCGTATGAAATTTCATGAGTTTTGTATGTTTTAGACCATGTTAGAAAACATGTTAGAAAACATGTTAGATCTAACATTCTAACATAAACATTATTTTTATTGAATTCCGTATGAAATTTCATGAGTTTTGTGTGTTTTAGACCATGTTAGAAAACATGTTAGAAAACATGTTAGATCTAACATGTTAACATAAACTTTATTTTTGCTGAATTCCGTATGAAATTTCATGTTTGACAAAACATTTACGTTCATGTTTGACAAAACATTTACGTTCATGTTTGACAAAACATGTACGAAGAAGTTTTGACAAAACATGTACGATGAAATCATGAAAATTCATGAGGTTAGAAAACATGTTAGAAAACATGTTAGAAAACATGTTAGATCTAACATGTTAACATAAACTTTATTTTTGGGTCCTTTACGCTCATTACGAAGAAGTCTTGACAAAACATTTAAGTTCGATGAAGTCTTGAAATTTCATGAGTTTTGTGTGTTTTAGACCATGTTAGAAAACGTGTTAGAAAACGTGTTAGATCTAACATGCTAACATAAAATATATTTTTGCTGAAAAATGACCAAATTTCATGAGTTTCCTTAAGATAGAAAAAATAAAGTTAGTTTTATTTTTATTTATTTTTTTATTTTGTATGTAAAGACAGATATGTCAACAACAGAGAACACAACAACAGTTATAGTCCATGAAGCTATAAATGAAGAATATGAGTACATACAGTTTAACAAACAACTCCGTCTCATTCGTTCGGTCAAAGACGATATGTACCAAATGCAAAGTATTTTGACAGCATGTTTTGCTCCAGATACTATGAAACCACAAGATTGGTTTGAATTAAATAGCACTCATGAACTCCTCAGTGAGTTTGAACATGTAGAACTTAAAAAGATGTACCAAGACAGACAAAACTTACCATCACATCTAAAAGGTATATATGTTCATAAGTTCCTAGTTAGTTCAATAGCAATGTGGGCTTCACCTCGTTATGCAATCTACATACTTATGCTACTTGACGAACTTTGTACAAAGCAGAGAGAAGATATGATGAAAGAAGACAAAAGCATTCAGAAAAGAATACCACGTTCGGTACCAAAAGGAAAGGAAAAGAACTATAAGTATATGATTTATACTGAAGAGATGGAAAATGAAGAAGATAAAGATATGGTTATGTTGCATTTAGTCAGAAGAAACAACAAAAGCTTTTACGACCTTGCTAAGATTTACAAATCTGACAGAAATTGGTTCTATCGCGAAAACTTACCGATTTCAATGACACCGAATGAAGATGTGAAACAAATAGTTCAAGATACTTTACCTCAAACACACTATGATATTAAAGGTTGTACAATTCTTACCTTCAAAGAAGATTTGCCATTGTTAAAGGAAAAAATAACAGAGTATTTTGACAACTTCAAACAAGTAGGGTAGATGAACCATTTATTTTTACGCTTGACTTCAGATGGCTCAGGTAGCTCTATAAAGTAAATTGCCTCGTCAAATCCTTCTGGCATTCCGAGTCCTTCCATCCGACAGAAAAAGTCCTTCCATCCGACAGAAAAAGTTTTTCCTTCCGACAGGAAAAGTTTTTCCCGACAACTGGAAAAAATTTTCCCGACAACTGGAAAAAATTTTCCGGACAAAAGAAAAAATTTTTCCTTCCGACAGGAAAAAATTTTCCAGTTGTCCGTCCGTAAACCATTCAAATTTTCGAAAATTGAGAACTTTTTGGTCGAACTTCAGAAAAAGTTTTTCCTTCCGACAGAAAAAGTTTTTCCTTCCGACAGAAAAAGTTTTTCCTTCCGACAGGAAAAGTTCTTCCTTCCGACAGGAAAAGTTTTTCCTTCCAACAGGACACAAACGGATGACTGACGTTCCTCTTCCTGAATGTCTTCCAAAGCCAGAAGAACCGAAAGCTGCAGAACCACAACAGACTTACTTACTAAGACTCAAACACTTACATTTTTACGCTTGACTTTTTACAATTTGAACTTTGTTTGCGTAGATATGAATTCTGAAAGAAGTATGAGGGTCTTGTATGACTTTGTACTTCTCCCATAGTTCATGTCTGTCAAACTTACCTGCCATGGACTCTTTCATAAGTTCCATGAAATCGTCTTCGGACAATCCGGGGAAAAGTATGATATCAGTAAGTATTCTCTTTACATCCTTACTTAAACTCTTTGCTGTCTGTACACAAATGACAACTGAGATGTTAAAGTGTCTGAGCTTCTTAAGAATTCGACACATGTCTTGTTCTCTGTTCTTTAACAAAGGATGAGAAGCAAAGTCGTCTAAGATAAGAAGACACCTATGAGGGTAAGTCTTCCAATCGTAAGATTGCAATTTCTTCGAAATGTATTCTATCTCTTTCTGTTTTGTTTCTGAAGTGTTTCTTCTCTAATATTCTCTGCATTTCCTCATTTGGGTCTTTAAACTTAGAATTTATATACTCATTTATAGCATTATACTTCAAAACTCTTCTTTGGTACTTCTTTATCCAATCTAACAACTCAGTATCCTTTATACATACTAACTTAGACTTCTTTATAATATCTTTGAACGAATTGACGGTTTGGTCAAATTGACCAGAAGTACTACAAATAACAACTAACTCATAGAATGGGTTCTTCTCATATAGTTCTTGTTGTTGTGCAGCCATTTTAAGATAAGTGAAAGTCTTACCCGACCCAGGTGGTGCAATTAGACCTGTTATACCATTCTGAGCAAATAAGAACTTGTCATGTATAGGTTTTATCTGAGCATTTTCTAACTTCCTCTTGTTCTTGTTTAAAACATTCTCAAATTTCTTGTCAATGTCAGCAAACTTTTTTTCTAACATATTTTAGAAAAATTAAAATTTTTATCTTTTAGAAAATGTCTAGCGATTTCGCTATCTATATTCGAGACAAACTTTTCGACTCTAAAACTTCTGTCGACCATAAAATCTTACATAGTGTAAACAAGAAAGGTGAATTTGTTCTAAAGTTCTGTTTCTGGAATATGACAAGAACCATAAAACATTAAGCAGAGAAGTCTTTAAGTTTGTCAATGACAGACTTGTTGACAGAGATGACGCCTCTTGGAGAGATGAAGTCCAACAAAAGTTCTTAGAATGCAAAGAAGACACATGCGCTGTTCTTGAAGATGAAATAGAAAACAGAATAGAAGAGCTATTAAAGGACAAAGACCTTTTACATAAATATGGTTGCGCCAAATTTGACATAACTCCACCAGAGAAGAAGAAGAAGAGAGAGAAGAAAGAAAAGAAAGTAGAAGAAGAGAAGAAAGAACCTGAACCAGTTCCAGAGAAAAAGAAATTTGACATGTAAAAATAAAATTTTATTTTTAGAACATTTCTGGGTCAATGTCAATGTTTCTTCTCTTTAGGAGCAAACACTGGCTTAGACTCTAAAATCTTTTTACCCAATTTACCTTGAACTTCAACTATCTTAGACTCATAATATTCATAGTCGTCTGCTTTCTTTGGTTCATAAGGTATAACAAGTTTTGTATGCTTTGCCTTCTTTAAGGTTTGAGAACCTTCTGTCAAAATTTTCTTTGACTGTTAACAAACCTTCTATGTCTAAGTCTTCAAATTTCGCACCATTTTTAGTCACAATAGCAAACTTAACTGGTTCGATGTTCCAAACTTTTGCTGAATGAAGACTTTTCAAAATTGTAGAAGTAAACATTCAAATATGCGAATGGAGCTAACTTATCTTTGACTTCTGTCATGTACTTAATTTACTGAGATGAATTTTGCCATCTTTCTATCGGATAAAAAAATTTTTTTTTATAAAAAACGTTTTAAAATGGTATGCCATATAGCTTCTTGAATTTGTTAAGAAATAGTCTAACGCATTTTCCATCTGTATCTCTAGCGTTTACATGAGCACAGCCATCCTTAGTAAAATATACTTGTAATTTTCTATAGTTTACGCCGGTATAAAAGTAGAAAGAGTCTTGTTCTTCGCTATAGTAGTAAAACTCAAACGTATGCTCGCCATAGTCTGTAATTTCAATTGCTTCATTTCTAGTTCGTCGACAAATTCGAATACTATATCTATAAATTTGCTTTTGTTCTTATTGTTTTCAGAACGAGTGACCAACGCAAGTTTTCAAGTCTATTGTCGTTTCTTATATGGTTTATATGGTCTACAAAAGGTAAATTGTTAGGGTTCGGTATAAAATGAGTTTGCAATGACAAACATGTTTAAAATAGTTTTTTCCACTCATACTCATCCTAGCATATCCGTTATTTTGCTCCCTCCGCTTAAAACTCTTTTTGTCTCTTTGTTTCTGACTTCAAATGACTCACAACAGTGAATTTCATATTTCTCATCTAAAACAAACAAGTTTTCCAACAGTCTTTTCCAACAAACTCAGCGTACATTTCAAATAAATAAAAAATACTGTTTTTAAAATTTACTCAGAAAAATTTTTCTTTGTATATACGCCGTTCTGAACATTAAAAGACTTTTGACATTTGCCAAGAATGTTCGTTTAGACGCTGTCATATAAACATATTCTTGACAATATTGTTTATACGAATCGTACAATGACCTTTCATCTAAACACTCAAAGTTAGTCTCATCTATAAACAGTTCATATACACTCTTGTTTGCTTCTAACAATGTTTGTCTTTCTTCGGTATGTGGAATTTGTCTTGGATTGAACTTTGAAATATCTAATGTCATAAAAATATGAGAACAAGTGGTTGTAAAAGTCAGATGTCAAAGTTTCTGCTAAGTCGTCAAAATATTCTGTATCTTGCATATGAGAATCTGACGTTCTGACAACTACATATCTTCTGTCAGAACTTTCTAACTTCATCGGAACAGCATTGTTTGAAACCATAATGAAGTTTGCAACATTTTCACAAACTCTTTGGTCTTTATATTTTCTTTCAACAACTCCAACTTTGTCTGTTATAAGACTCTTCAAAGCATCTGAGTTCAAAACTTTTGTTGTATCTATACTTTGAAGTTCATTGCAAACTATAAGTTTCATATTCTCAATTGAAGAGTTAAATTTACCGCAGATGTTTTCTAAGTTTGTCATATTCGGATTCGAATAACCTTCTAACAGTTTGCACAAAATATCTGTAAAGAAAGTATTCTTACCAGTTCCTTGTTTTCCAATTATAATGAGAGCAGTTTCATTTTTAGCACTTGGATGTTGTAAGATGTTTGCAAACCAACATAAGATATACTCATAGACTCTTTCGTTTCCATTGCATATAATTTCTTTGACATGGTCTAACCAAGCTTCTATAATATTTTCTTTCCATTCTACTTGTTCGTATTTATATCCAGTGAAGATAGAATAGAAGTTTGGAGAAGGTGTATAGAACTTTATACCTCGAACTGAAAAATCTTCTAACTTTGACAATAAGATATCCCAAGCATCTAACATCTTCATGCCAACTTGTACGACTTTTATTTTCTTAAGTTTCTGTCTACATTCTTGTTCTGAAACTATTGTTGCTCTTGGTTTGTTAAAGACAACATCCCATTCTTTCATAACATAACATTCTGGGGCAGAGTCAACATAAATGACTAAACGTTTCAAATTCTCGACTGCTTTGTTATAGTCTCTAAATGGACACATATTTCTGAATGCTTGGAAGTCATAAAAATCTGAAACATCTATTCTGTACATTTTTATAAAAATAAAAAAATATTTTTTTTATTCTTGACTTTGTTGTTGCATTTGTTGCATTTGTTGTTCTTGAGCTATTTGTTGTTGAAGTTGTTCTTGTAATACAATACTTTCACCAGTTGCATCTTCCAATTCGAAACTTTCTGCCGTCATTGACAAATACATAGGACATAAAAGTTTTACAGGAACAAAGTTTGCGTCAACTAATGTCAACGTTATACTTGCCAAAGTGTTTGAGTTCACTAAGGTTGAAAATTCTGCATTCGAATGAACAATAGGCAAACCAGCAGAGAAAGTATTGTTTATACGCATAAGTATCTTTTGGTCATAATAGTTTCTGTCGACATTCGAATAACACTTTGAACCTAAGTTTGAAACAATATATAAAATAGGTGTGCTTAAAGTCAATGGAATAGACATTCCTTGTATGACACCTTTTCCTGTTATAGGAAACTGTTGGTAGTAAAAACCAGATATAAGTTTTGTATTATAGCTCATATCGTTTATACTAAACTCAGTCGGACATCCAAACATAATGAAACCTGCTCTAGTTGCAGCACATGTTACATCCGTCCTTAAAGTATTAAATAAGTCAACAAAACCTGTTGGTGGTATATCTGAGTAAGTATCTTCAAAGGAGTATTTTTTACCATTCACAACAATAAAGTCTTCTGGTGTCAAAAGAGCAAAACAGGCTTTAGTCGTCATTGTGTTTAAGGTTAGTTTACAATATCGTCCTTGAGGACTTTGTAAGTTTGTTGTTATAGAATTATATGACTCAGGGTTTTTAGTCGTAATAGTATAAACCATTATGTCTTCTGCCATTTACTTAGCAAATAAACTTTAATGAAATGTTGTGGTCGTCAAATATTTTTATGACGTCTGGGAAACTATATTTTAAGTTCAACGTTTCACCTCCTTTCATAACGTATATCTTGTCAATGACATTATATGAAACACCACAGCAAGCAATGTCGGGTTCTATTTCTTTGATGTTTATATCGTCTGCCTCTGTCAAAAGTTTCAATAGTTCTTTCAAAACTTCATGAGGTGCAATGACATATGAGTTCACTTTTACAGGGTTGTGTTCGACCAAGTTTAACATTATACTTAAAGCTTGACAAATCTTCTCCTGAGTTTTAAGTTTATCTTTAAGTTGTTGGTAGTCGTTTCGAATATCTGCAACAGAACTTAAGTCTCTGCTAACTTCAGGGTATGTTGGTTGTTCTTTTACAGGAACTATTGTTATACCATCTTCGTCTTCGTATGGTTTCCCCACTTCAACATCTCTGTCTTTGACATTGACAACAACACTTTGACTGTTTGTTTGAGTTGGTGAATTTAACTTCACATCTGCCATCGCCATTAAACCTTTTGAAACACTTACGCTTCTATTTTTCGGAAATGACATTTTACTTAGAATAAAAAGATGGACGTATTTGAGTATCTCTTCGAATTGAAGCAAAACAAAGTTTACACACACAAACAATACAAATACATTGACAGAATAGTTCTTTATACAAACAATGGTAAATGTTATAGAATAGCAGTCTTTGCTGAACCTAAATATTTTCATAAAGCAAAGAAAGTTGGTATAACTGAAATGGTGAAAGTTCTTGAAGCAGACAAAAATATAACTTCAAAACTGACCGATATTACTAAAGGAAAGTTTATAATACAATATTATGTCAAAACTGGCGTACTGTCAATATTTGACGGAGAGAAGTCAGTTCAAGAACAACTTACTGACCTGCTGCCAAAATCTGCTCGATGGAAGCTGTCGTTATGCCAATCTGAGGAGCCCCAGCAGGTTTCATCGAACGAATCTTCAAAAGAGCATCTTCCGTGAAAAGTGCTATTGGTTTTGTAAACTTCTTTGCTTTCAATTCATCTGGACCGTCTCTGTCACCAGTATATTGTATTTGAACAGTACCAACAGTTGAAATACCACCCATAAAGTCTTCTGAGTCAGCAAATGGAATGCCAAGCCAAAAGTTTGAACGGTCTCCATTTGTATATTGAGTTTTTTGACTTCCTGTATGAGTCCATACTTTCACATATGGCATAATAGAACTTTGCATTTCAGGGTTAATGGTTGTTGTGAAGTTGTTGTTAAAGTTCATAGCATCTAATGTCAAGTTGTATGACCTCATATCCTCAACTGTAGAATATTCTTCTCTTGGATAATATTTGCCATCTATGTTTATATGATATTTAATACCAGGGTTGTAGAAACAAGAATAGTCATTTATAGTTCGTCTGAACAGTACAAACATAGTATCTGCATGTTTCATTGCAGTTGTTAAAGCAATATCTGTTCTTGCACCTGGGTCAGCACTTTGGTTTCCAACTTCACCTGCAAAGTCTTTGACAGATATTTGGTGTATAGGGAACATAAGTGGAACTGCAATATATTTGGCAGCTAAAGCATTTGAAATATCTGGGTCCAACATATAGACTGCAAGTCTGCTTTCTATTCTCTTGCATTCAAATTTTTCGCATGTGAACTTAACTGGGTCCCAAGCATCTCCAGCAGCATTGAAATAATAGTTTACTTCAGTGTTGAGGTTTGAGAAACCAAAGTCTAAGTCAACTTTGTTTTTGCAAAAGTCGGCGAATGACATTTTATTTGTTCCCACTACTTCTGTAAGAGTGAATGGGTCTTGCGTTGGTGCAATGACTAAGTTATTTTTGCTTGGAGTAAGTTCAATAGAAATTTTTCCTGCCCAGTTTGGCAAGTATCTTAAAAACCTGAAGATGAGGAAAGATGACAAAGGAACTCTAAGTTTCAATTTTACTTTGGTTACTGCTGCTGCAGTTTGTCCAGAAAGGTTAACATAAACTCCTGGAACGTTAGGGTCAAGTCTTCTTATTTTCTCAATAGTTGCATACTGGTCTGTTTGTTCTCTAGCTTGTGGTTGTACTGAGTTTCTCAAAGCGAACCATTCATAGTTTGCCCATGTTACTGTTTGAACTAAGTCAGAGTTAGAATATATCTTATATCCATGAAAACTTCTGGAGCATATTGGTATCCGACATAGAAAATTCCATTGCAACCTTTCTTGTCAGACAACTTGGCAGAAGGTTTTATTTCAATGTCTTGTTCCACGTATAAGAATGAGTTGTCAATAGAAATTATATGAAACCTGTCGCAAGCAATATCTACTGTTGTTGAAGAACCTTCTCCAAACTCACCTACGTTTCCATAAGAAACAGCAGTTGTATATTCGTAAGTTCCAGGAACTATTTCTGACCTTCTAATGGCATTGTCGCATTCGTTATACCATTCGGAAACATTTCCATTCATAGCATCCAAAACTGTTGGCGTTATATTCTGAGCGGCGTACATTTCATATGAGTAAAAATATAGAATAGTTGGATTTATATGTCATAATAGAACCCACGTGGACCAAGCTTTACTTTCTTCCTGACTGAGTTTTTAACTCTTCTTTTTCCTTCATTGCCCTCTGCTTGAAGTTGTTGCATCTTTGCATTATGTTCATCTAGTATGTTGCAAATTTCCCATGTCCTTTTTGCCTTTTGGCTCTGGTCGCCCATCTCAGGTAACCTATATCCTAGAAAGAGTTTGTCATAGTTTGTATTTGAGTCTTCGCGTATTGTTTGCATGACTCTTTCCTGAGTTTCCGGTTCAAGCTCTTCAAACAGAGCTTGTCCATATGGAATAAGCTCGTTTCCAAATATATGTTTTTGTAGCCATTCTGGTTTTCTTTCCATGTTACCAATAATATCTTTTGTGAATGGGAAAGCTTTTACCCAATGTTTCAGTCTTGCGTCATTTATTTCTGTAGTTGGTTTTATTTTGTCAAGGAACATGTTTTTCAATACTAACATTTCATTTGGTACTGTCCATTTGAGTTTTCTTAAATATTCATCCCTTCTCGGTTCATTGTCTGCAAAGTAAGTTTTTATGACATTTTGTAAACTTTCGTTTGCAAGGTCATGTACAATAGGTTCTCTTCCTTCTATCTCCCTAACTTTCTTTCTAAACTCTTCACCAAATATACCATCTCTATGGTTCTGTGTAGTTCTTTGAGATAAATGTTTTAGAACGTCAGGTGTTATATTTCCATCAGCCATGTTCATTTCATACTGGTCCAAAATATCTGCATGTTTCATATCTTTCAATGGCATTAAAGCCGCGCTGAAAATACCAGCTATATCTGGTTCACCATTGACTTCCATTGCGTCTACAACTTCTTGGAATTGTGGTTGTAAGTTTATGAACCACCTATCCGGATTAGCTTTATGACCCCATCTCATTGTAGTTCCATCGTCTGCAGAAACAAAAGTAGGTTTGTTTCCATCTTGGTTAGGTTCTGAATGAACTTTAAACAATGTTTCATTTCTATATGTTTTCTTGAAATTTAACCTTTTATTTTCACCGAGTTCATCCGAAGATTGAACGTTAAATGCTCGTAAGTAAAAAGGGTTGTTGTATTTGTGTACATTTTCTTTCAGTACTTCCATTCTATGCTGAATATTTTCATCTGATGTTGGAGTCTTTTGTATGTCGGCAAACATTTTTCGATATTCTTCTACTATGTCAGCCGAATTTTTTTTAGACTCTTGGAAAGATTCCATATTCACCTCATACTCTTGTTGAGGGTCAAGATTTTTCGGCTGTTCCAAATCTTCATCTAGTTCTGTGAAGTTAGTTTCCAAAGGAGGGACTTGTTCGTTTCCTTCAGGCTCTTCTAGCTGTTGTTGCTGAACTATTTCTTCCATGTCTGGTTGTATCTGAACTTCTTCCTGTGGAGTTTCTTGTACCTCATCTGCTGGCATTTCATATATTCCGAGACCGTTTTTAACAAGTTCCCTATTTAAGTCATCCGCATTCATAAGCCTTTGTTCTTTCGTTCCTTCTCTATTTTTTACGCGTTTCATGAAGATAGTTGAATCATCATTTATCTCTGACATCAAATATCTCGGAGTAAATTCATCCATGTCATTTGGATGATATGCTATTAAATCATATCCCTTAGCGAGCTTGTATTTTCCAGGTTTGAGATTATATCTGATTTGGTGCTGAGCCATAAAGCTAAATAGGTTCGGGTCAGTATTTCCTTCCTTGAACTTTTTAATAGCTTCTTTATATCTGTCACTAAAGTCAATACTATCTGGGTAACCATAGTCTTCCTTAAGCATTTTTAAGAATTCTTGGTTTCCTTGTTCTCTACTTCTTTTATGTCCTTGCTCTGTTTGTGGTTGTTGTTGTGCAGGGTTTTGAACTGTTGGTTGTTGTGCAGGGTTTTGAACTGTTGGTTGTTGTGCAGGGTTTTGAACTGTTGGTTGCTGTGCTGGTTGTGGAGGTGGTTGCTGTGCTGGGTTTTGAACTGTTGGTTGTTGTGTTGGTTGTTGTTGTGGTGCTGGTTGTTGTGTTGGTTTTGGTGCATGCCTGTGTCTGTGTCCATGTGACGATGTAAATGTTTTAGGTAGTCCTGGTGCAGGTGCTTCTCTTGGAGGGTTTGGTGGTATATAAATTCCAACAGCTGGTATATATGTTCCACCAGCTGGCACATATGTTCCATCTGCAGCGTAATGTCCTACCTGACTTTTCGTTCTTAAGAAAGCATTTACTAGGTCTGTTTTGGTCTGTTGTAACTCTTTTTCTTGACTTTCCACAAAAGTTGCTCTAACGGCGTCATAGGCACTTTGAACTGCCTGTCTCGTTGCTGCATCTGTTATTTTCGTCATATTTTGTGCTACTTCTCTTAACTCTTTGTCGAAACCTTCAGACTTCAGTTTCTTTCCAGATGAGAAGTCGTTCACTAGTTTCACCTTACTATGAAGAGCTTCGAAGGCGTTCTTAAAGTCAGCATTCATTAAAGCTTCATTTGAACTGTCTTCATCCGCTTGTATTTTTGTCCTTATTGACCCTATAAGCTGGGCTGCTTTAGCGTTGGCTTGGGCATCTAACCAGTCATTGTTAGCTTTTATATATTCTGCGCTTTTCATTGCCTTTTGCATGGCTGCGTCGTTATTTTTACTTTCTTGTGCTAAGTTTTCATACTGTACGGTTTGGTTTTGCAACTGTAAAAGTTTTTCTGCCTTTACATTTGCTTCAACTTCTTTTTTATACTCATCGCTATCCATATATGTCTTCAGGGCTTTTTGTTTTATCTCTTCATCTTTCAGTACTTTATATTGAGTAGTATGGTTTTTCAAATTTATAACATCTTGTTCCATTTTTGCTACTTCTGCTGCTTTTTCTGACACTTTTTTCGCATATTCCTCTGTACTTAGTTCTTTCAGTTGTTCTTCTTTCTTCTTTTTCTCTACGTTTAACTCATTGAGTTTCTTTGTGTGTCTGTCATATTCTAGTTTCTTTTCGTTTTCACCTATTTGTCTCTGTATGTCTATGTTTGACTTTTTGACATCTGCTATTTGATTTTTGAGTGAACTCAAATTCATTTGACTTTGAGGGTTATAGGCTGTTCCGTCTGCAGCTCCACCATAGCCTGCCATTTTCGCTAAAAGTGCCGCTCTTAAACCTCCACTCTGTGCACCAATAACTCGGTTTAAAAGCATAGGGTTGCTTGACATTTGTTGCAACATAGTGGGGTCATTCATAATTTGTTGTTGCAACTGTTGTTGTGGTGTTAGTTTTACTATTGGATGTTTCAATGCTCTCTTCCTCTTACGTATATTCTTACGTAGCTTACGTGGCATTTTAAGTGAAGTAAAAAACGGTTTTTGACAGATGTTTATATGACACTTTTTGTTCAGCTCAAAAAACTACTCGGTCAAAGTGTTGTCAGTTTTGTAAAATAACCGTCCTATCTCCGTGCCTATGACGAAGAAATCATGACAAAACATTTACGATGAAATCTTGACAAAACATTTACGATGAAGTCTTGACAAAACATTTACGAAGAAGTCTTGACAAAACATTTACGAAGAAATCTTGACAAAACATTTACGATGAAATCTTGACAAAACATTTACGAAGAAGTCTTGACAAAACATTTACGAAGAAATCATGACAAAACATTTACGATGAAGTCATGACAAAACATTTACGATGAAATCTTGACAAAACATTTACGAAGAAGTCTTGACAAAACATTTACGATGAAATCTTGACAAAACATTTACGAAGAAGTCTTGACAAAACATTTACGAAGAAGTCTTGACAAAACATGAAAACATATATAATTTGTGAAAAAGCGACACAAAAAGTGTCACCGGCTGGGGTTCGGTCCTCCTCTTGGGTCTTGGGCAAAATTTCTTATGGGCTAGAGGGCACAAAGTGCCCGGAAGGCCATCCCAAGAAAAAAAAAAACTTCATTATACTCATCAACTTCAGGGCTAGAAGGCACGAAGTGCCTGGAAGCCCCACTACCTTTTTTTTTTTTTTTTTTTTTTTTTTTTTTTTTTATTACTGATTCATGATACAATTCTGAATCGCTTTGCAATTTTTCATGTTTACAGTTTGAATAAAATAATTGAATCGAAGCGACTTAAGATCATTCAAATTGTATAAATTCAAAAGGATATAGTTTGAATAATATTTAATCATAAATTAACTATGAGCAAATTTGATAATTATTAAGGAATAAAAAATGAGACTGCATTCAATTCATTTTTTCATGCTTGCTCTTTTCTTAATAAGATCATATTCAGAAATTCAAGCGATTGAAGGTTGCACTGATGTAAATACTTTTGATGCAGCGATTCTTGCCAAGATAAGTTATCATAGTGTTCAAGCTGGAGAGGTAATTTGTTATAAAGGTTCTATTGTTATGCAAGCCAATAAAGAGATTATTGTTACTTATAAATTTGTGGACGAAGAAAAAAGCATTGATGGAACGCTAAATACATTTAAAAATCCATTTTATATCTGTTCACATGATAAAAAGCCCTACACAAAGATAGCAGCTAAAGATCAGACAAAAGGATTTGATATTTCTGTTGTTTCTGTCCATGGATCAAAAAATGAGTCAAATAAAAATATATGGGAAGTTTTTTCTACAGCAAGAACTTTTAATAAGTCTGTCACAATCTCTCCATTACAATCAGTTAGGCTCATTGCTGAAAATTCAAATTCTCTAAGACTCACTATTAATAACACTAATATTCAAAAGCACATTACTTATGATGAACGAGAAGATATAGAAAGTGGCAGCTCATTATATCTTGAATTGAGTTCTATCAATGATGGCGAAGAAATGGTAGAGATTTACTACAAACCAAATTTAGATGCATTTTCAGTTGGTTTTAGAAGTTTATTTGAAGAAAATATTTTCTATATCCTCCCTGGTGAAGGTGTATTTAACGTTGTAGATATTAAACTCTTTACAAGAGATCACAGAAGCATCTTCAGAGAAATTCAAGACGAATCCAATGATGATGAAAACGGTGATGAATCTGGCGAAATAGAATGGGATCCAGATGCAGTATTATATTGTCAATATATAATTGGTTCTAAGTTTGAAAGGGTAAGCAAATTTTTGACAATTCAGCCAGGTGGAGTTGAATGTTCACAGGGAAGTTTCGTATATGCCTCCAAAGATAAATTCGATGTTACTGTTTATAAAAGAAAAGATAAACAAGGAAATTTATATCATAATCCATTCAGTACATGTGGAATACATTTAAATGTCATTAAATGTGCAAACAGTTCTGAAGAATGCAGAGTTCATATTATTTCAGTTGAGCAACCAATATTTTCTGATGCCGAAACAAAAAATTCTATTTTCACAACGAAAAACGAACTTAATTTTACCCATATTATTAATGTAACAGATACTAAATCAGAATCTTTTAGTTTAATATCACATAGTGCACAAATTAAGGAAGTTAAAGTAACATTTGATAAACCTGATGTTTATTTTTCACTTTATAATGCTGATGATGAAAATGCCGGACAAAGATCTCAAGGAAAAACGATTTTTGGTGACTTTAGATTAGCTCCTCCTCCAGGTGAAACTACAGCATATGTATCAATTAAGGAGTTAAGAACTATTTTGGATGACGATGATGAATCATTATTTGAAAATGACTTAGTTTATGAAATTCCTGATGGGGTCAAAACAGAAGAAGAAGTGAAAAATTATTCAAGAACTAGTAATGTTACTGTTGTCAGAGACAATAATAAGATTACATCAAATAAACAAGATCCAACACCTGAAAGAACTCCTGAACAAATTTCAGCAATCCCTACAAATAGAAAACTTTCATCGGGAGAAATTGCTGGAATTGTAATTGCTGTTCTTGTTGCAATTGCTATTATCTGTATCCTTGTCTGGTTATTCGTTTGCAAGAAGAAAACAGAAAAAAATGATTCTGGATCGGGAGAAAATGTCTAATAAAAATAATTGATATTAAGATAATAAGGATCACATTTTATTGGGATTAAAATTCACAAAATGAACCGTGAAAGCTATAATTATGAATTCGGTTTCATTTAATCTTTAATGAAAAGAATTTTAGCTCAAAAGCATCATATTTGTAAAAATTTAAAACGAATACTAGAATTTGTTTTATTCAGTATAACTTAGGATTCAAAATCGAACTGCAATTTAAAGACGAATTTTAATCAACGACGACGCAAGAATTTGTGAGATATATCATTAATGGAATCTGTTTTGTTCACAGATTTAATATGAACATTTTTATTGATGGTTTCGAATTCTGCTTGGCAAATATCGGTTGAAAAAAGAGTTAAATCGTTTGTGAATAAAGTTCTTGGAATATTTTTGTCTGTATCATGAAAAAATGTTTTTTCAGTCGAATTGTCAATGTAACAATTATCAATAATTGCTAGATTACCATCGTTATAAATCAAATATGAATTTTCAGATACAGAATTGTTAATAAAGGAACAGTTTGTTATAGTAATAGTTCTTTTGTAATTCCCTCCATTATGAAAAATAATCCCATATCCTGGTTTAATAGAATTATTTATAAAATTGCATGAATCAATAAGGGCTTGATAATAAATTGTTAATACATTATTTTGATAACCTTCTGAAAAAAGTTAACTGCAATTGAATAATTGATTTTTGTTGTAAGTGAACGTGAGTTTGAGCGGGCAGCATATAAAGCGCATTTATCATCTTTACATGATGAGAAATTTGTTGATGAAACTATAATATCATCATTATATGAGCTGCAAATAGAATATCCACGCTCTAGATTTCCTGAATTGAAAAGGGAGCTTTCAATAATAAAGTTTTTGTCTTTTTTTTAAGTTCTATATATGAAAATTGGCCTTGATCGCTGCATTCGCATTTTGTACAACAGAATTTTCGTTGAACAATCGAGCTGGATCTGTTCGAAGTGTAGTAAATGCAATTACCGTTTTGTTCTGAAATGCAATTAGTAAAGGAACATTGATTATGTAAAAAGAAAGTGTTAGTAATGCGGTTGAAGTTAATAATTCGATTATTATAATTATAGAAGTTGCACTCTTCTAAGTAATATTGACCCTTTCCAGGTGATATTGGGCAGTTCTGACAATTTCTAGTTTCATCATCTTCAAACGGACTTGTAAAGTAGATATCCCATACATTGTCATCTTCTGAACAAAAAAAATGTGAAAATTTTGAATAGTTTACATCAAAATTGGAAGTATAGGGAAATAAAGTATGGAAAAGGATTTGGATATTTCTATATATAACACATGAGAGTACTATTATCCAGTATATTATTCTCACTATACTTTCATGAATTAGCTATAATTTTTTATTATTATTATTCTGACGGAAAGCTCTGGCTCTTAATGATTTCAAATGGAATGTCTATTTTAGATGCATTATTAAATTATAATCATCCGAAATTTTATTATAAAATAACTTTTTCTCATACAAAATGTAAACTATTCAAAAATTAAGGAGGACAATCTCCGACTTTAGTGATCCGATTTCTTCAAAACTGATGAGATGAATTCTGTATTGTCTGTAGATTATATCCGAATTGTTTTTATTAGTACGAAATTTAAAAAAAAACAATGATTTCTTTTTTGCTTGCTCTTAAGGCTGAGGACCTTTTTCTGGAAGAAGTATTCCATGACCCTATTATATTTCCTGTAAAGTATTCTATTCATGATGTAGTTAAAAGGAACTGCGAAGTAAATTTAGATGAACAAACAATAAGTTGTCCTACAGGCACTGAAGCCAGAAATGCCGCATATGTATCAACAACATTAACCAATATGCCCCCAGGATACTTCGGAATCTTGAATTTTACAGGAAATTCTTTAATTAACAACCCCAATCAAACAATTCAAATCGAAGTAAAGTCAAATGGTTTGTCACCAAGTTACTTTTTCAAACCCGATGGAAAGGAGTATACAACTACAGTTATTCCAATTGTGAATGATACATTCGTCAGAGTTTTCTTTATTTCGAAAAATGGGGAAAGTATATTTAAGATACCAGAACTTAGATTCATTTGCAAAAACATTGAAAGAAAAGTTTACGGAAAACCGAAATTAGATAAAATTGAAAAAAACGTATATCGTGCTTCAGTTGAAATAACACCGGCAGACAAGTTATATATACAGACTCTGTTTATTCCAAACAGTTTTGATTTGCCAAGTACAATGTATCGATATAATTATCCGATTCAAGATGCAAAAACTGACATAATGGTTCTTCCTGTTTTAGCAAATGAATCTATTATTATTGGTTATGATATATGAAGATAATTATTTTTTTGCATGGCATGCAAGATCAGAACCACAAGGAACATATATGGAATTATGTATCAAACCAAAAACTAAATTTATTTTAACATATTTGATTGTTGAAAAAGAAACAGTGAATTTAAGAGATTCTATAGAGAAATGGCATTTTACATTTAAAGATGTATATATTAATAATACTATGGGACCCGGTGCTTGGGTTGCTAATCCTCATATCAATCGATACAAACAAGAATTTATTGAACCATTTATGGCAAAATATGTTTGGTCAATGGAACTTCCTAATGACAAAACATTTGGTTTGCCATCATTTTATTACATTGAACCTCCTCTTCTTCACACAGAACAATTCAATTGTGATGATAATTATGAAACTAACATTAATAAATGTGCTGCTGATGGATCTCAAATTTGTCAAGTTATTAAAGATTTTGGTAGAAGAAATATCAATGGAAAACTCAGATGTACTGTCAATTGGAATGGCAAAGGATCACAGATTTCTTACTTATTCTATGGTGCTGGAAGAGATTTCAAATTAAAATCTTTATTTGACGCTTTGAGTAAATACAATTATAGTGGAGTTTCATTAGATTCTATCTCATCTCTTTATGCATATTATAATACAGATATGCCAACTGATTTGTGTCCATTTAGTTTATTAGATGATAAGAATTTTGATCGTGAATTCCTTATTTTACCATTCTTTAATGTTTTTAAAAATCTTTCAAAGTATGCTCCAAATGGTTATATGTTAAATTCAATGATTGTTTTCCCTCAATTTACAAAATGGGCTGTAACAGCTGGTTATGAAATTAGTATGAAAACTATTTATGGCATGCCAAAGGGAGAATCTCAGCATTTTTGGCAAAATAGATTTGCACTTGGATCTCGTCCAAATTCTCATTTAGATTCAAGTTCTGGATGGGATAAGTTTGAAGAATACTTTAGTTATTGTTCAATTGTTTGATGCACACCAAGCAGCGAATCCGGTAAATTCTGGAATAATGAAGATGATATGAATAGAGTTAGATCATTTTATGATAAATGGAGAGCTCCATTAACTGAGATGCTAAATGGAACTATTTATTTAGCATATGGAGGTGGAAAAGTTAAATATGAGAATGATGAATGGGGTGTTTTCTGTCATAAGAATGGAACTTGTTATGCTTCATTTTATATCAGAAATGAATCTTCTACTTATCAAGCAACAGTTGATAAGAATCCTAAGTGTTTCTTTGAAGCAGAAGGTGTAACATGCAGTACTGATGGAAATACTGTTACATTAACTAGCAAAAGTAAATATCGTTCAGCAATTGTTAAATTTGAAGGTGATGTTTTAGATGAATCAAAAAGTAAAACAGGTCTAATTGTTGGCCTTGTTGTTGGCTTTATAGTTTTGATTGTTATTATTGTTATTGTTGTCTTTATTTTAATGAAGAAAAAGAACAACGATAATGGCAAACAATCTGATGAAGGCAAAAACATCTAAAATATTTTTTATATGTTTTACGTCTTATTATAAAAGTACTTTATTTGGTTTAATTTTTCTTATTGGTATCAAAGAAGGTTTCATAGATGAATTTGATATTGATTTGAATTTCAATAAGTTTTTAGGAATTCATTATTGTCACCAATGTTTCAGACATCGATTTACAGTTAGTTGGTAACGGTTATTCAAGTGTGATTAATAATAGAACAGCCAATATATATTTCAATTTGAGTTGTAATAATAATCGTTCAATATTGAGCGATACATAAGCATCTAAAAACAAAAATATCATGTTGATATCATTAAATGTGTTCTTTGAATAAGATTAAATTCGATCAAGTCAGAAAGAGATTGAGATGAGCTTCCTTCAACCAATTTATTAATTAATATGTAATTGGATTCAACTCATTTCCAAATTACATATAGAATATCACGCCATTTATAAAATTGAAATGCATAATGGCAGTTCTTTTACACACTGCATACTATGATTATCAGTCGACCACTTGATATTTCATTAATTTTTTTTTTGAATTTTGTATACAAAATTTTTGTGTAAAAAATTGAAATTAAGTCGAAATTTCATTTAAAAATGTCTGCTGAATATTTCGTCGATCTGGTAGATATAATGTGTGGTCGATTTTTTTCTACAATTTTGTCACTTTTATTTCTCCATGTCAACGATAAATCCCAGTGAAATTGTTGGGATTGACATGGAAGAGGAAAGGAAACGCATACTAGTTCCCGAGTACTCTGGACTGGGACCACCAGATCTTGTTGTTGTTATGAAAGATGTTGATGGAATTTTATACAAGAACTACCATCAAGTGTACGGTATATCCTATAAAAGCCAATCAGGATTTATTGAATATTTTCAGAAATTTGTTGCTGATCAGACAAAAATTCATAACGTATCAAATATCAGATACGGATACGTCTTAACATGGGATAGCATCTGGCGCCAAGACGTATGCATACCATCCTACCAGATTAACTTTGCGAAAAAACCAAACTGGTTCAATTTACATATTTCTTCTGTTCTCAGATTCTACAGGCATGACAGTTCATTGTTATATTCCATTTATGGAGGCATTCCTTATGTATATTTGCCTTCAGTTACACAGCCTTTATTTGAAATTTCTTTGGAAGATTTAGAATACGCTGCAGATCTTTTTTCAATGTTCTCTATGACAATGGAACATCAATTAGCTATCTCTCGTGCTCTACTTTGCAACTGTAATACCCCTCAAATTATGAAGTTTTTATATGCATATAGTAATAGTTTGCCAGCAATACTAGTTCACATCTCCAAAATACTTCCACCATCAACAGCAATAGAAGGTGGTGTATACTTTCTACTCGAAACTCATCTAGATACATTTTGTGATGATTTAGAAGCAGTTTTTGCTGTTTTTACTTATTATTTAAACCATTCTCAGCCGCAAAAGTGCAAAAGGTACATTCCTCTACTCGAGCAAACTAAATTTCACCATCCTTTGGCCGCAATTTGTTTAGCAAGATATTATATTTCGACGAAAACTACTTCTGGATATAACTGTGCCTTCCACTGCTTGAACATTGCAGGATTAGCTAAAGGATGGAGCTTACCCGGCCTAACACCAGACGTAGATCCGAAATATTTATCAGAAGTTGTTTTTCCAACGAGTCACACAAAACTAGAGAAGTTAATTGTAGATTATCCGGTCACAGGGAGGACACAAGCGTATTTCGATGCTATTAATGAGCTCATTGACTCATATTCAGAGAAAACATTCACGAGAGTTATGAATATTTTCATGGAACAACATCCATTTGTTGAAAAAGAGCCAAATTTCCCTGAATACCCATTTTTTTATTCAGATTCGTGTAAATCTACAGATGAGTTTTATTTGTTTGATCCAGGAATCGAAACAGAACCAATAATAACACCAGAACTGAGGAATGTTCCAATGTCACATAGATTTTACAACATGATACAAATGGTTTTAGAAGGAAGAAAAAGATTACAGAAGTTGACAGCAAAACTTTATGTTAGAGATAGTTTTAAGTCAACTGACCTTCTTCTGGCACTGAGATTTAAAGATGGAGTTGTTTTCAACGTTGTTTACGAATACCTCAAACGAAATAACAAGTTGACTGGAGCAGGATATCTTTTGGTTCTCAGAGCAATTCTTCTTGGCATTGTGAACTTGGATAGCGTTGCAATGCCAAATATATTAACTGCAGACCAGGCTTCTGTGATTCCTTTTGCTAAGGGATTCATTGAGAAGCTGGTTCGGCTTGAACGCGTATATTTATAAATTGTTTTTTTAATTCATAATTTTTTTAACTTATATATATATATTTATCATCATTCTTGCTCATTTTGTGATATCAACTTGAAACAATTTCAATAAGTTATCAAAAATATCAGTAATGCAATAGAATAAAAATATATCCAATTATTCAAATTTTTTTGGATCCCTTTTTTCTATCAAATCATAATCCCAAAACAATTTGAAGGGTGTGATATAGCGAATATACCTCAAATATATATATATTGTTTATATTCAACGGTTCCAAGAAAAAAAAGTGTCGAAGACAGGAATAACCTGACGAAGAAACGACAAAAATACAGTTCATATCCTCCTTTTGGGAATTTAATCTGTTGACTATAATTTACTATTAATAAGAGACTATATCTCAATTCTTTATGACTGGGAACCATATTCTTCACGTTTTTCTCTCAAAATTTGAGTGAATTGATAAGTTTGCATGCCCTCATGAAATCAATATATCTTTAATGTAATAACAAAATATTTTATTAGGTATATAATGATGGCTTTTACATATGGTTATAACATTTTTCCCCAATCAAAAATTGGATATAAAGCTCGGGTAAGTGTACACATAATTGAAATAAATTTGATTTTATACATTCAATAAGAACACTTTTAAAATGAGATTTAAAATGTAGACGTCTTGATTCATGAGGGCATGTATAAATTGTTTGTATATTTAAACTATTCATTAGATTGGATTTCTATAAAAAAGCAGTTTTTTATTTAAAAAAAATCTCAAAAGAAAATTATGGGGAAAAAAACTTGATATTTATTAATAAAATTGATATCTTATGATGGAATTGTGAATTTGGAGTTTTACACGATTTGCATGGAAAGTGTACTTCCCTCTTGGCTTGATGTTTCTCCTTCTTTGTTTGAAACATTTTTGTATACAAAGAAAGAAATAACAGCGACAGCAATAATAAAAATGACAGCAATTACAATTCCAGCAACTTTGCCTCCATTCTTCTTATTACCATTTTTCTTTTCTTCATTGTTATCTTTGTCTTTATTAGTTTCGTCATTATTCTTGTTGTCTTTGCCATCACTGTCATCATCTGAAGGATTATCGTCATTAGAACTGTTTATTGTTAATTGTTTGCCGTTTAGATCGATACCTAAAGTAGTACCATCATTGACTTTCTCAGTTATTTTAACACCGCCAACAGGATCAGAATTGATTTGGGTTGTGGTGATAACTTTATCGCATGACTTGGCGTTCTTCAAGAAATCACCCTTAATATCTTTAGTTCCGCAATAAATGAATGTTTTGATATTGCATTTAGAAAACGCTTGAGAGTTAATTGTATTGATTCGATGACCAACAAAAATTGTAACATCCTTTCCACTTGAAAATGAATCAGGGAGAGAATAATCGTTGATATTTGCCAGGATAATATAATTGACGTTTGAATATTGGCTGATTGAAGGGAGATATTTGCTTTCTAGGAAGTTTAACATATTGCAACATTTCACACCCTGAAAATACTCGGCTTCCAATTGATGTTACACTATCTGGAAATGATACACTCTTCAGATTATCACAGTCATGAAATAGAGAATTATTAATTGACGTCAAGCCATTCGGAAATGTGAGGTTTTCTAGGTAATAGCAAAAATCGAATGCGTTATTACCAATAGATTTCACACTATTTGGAATAATGTTCATGGAACGGCAACGCCAAAATGCATACTCGCCAATTGATACAACAGATGGAGGAAGTTCAATTTTTCCACGACAATAAAGAGAATCAAATGCAAAATCACAAATTTCCACAACACTTGGAGGAATTATTACACGTTTAAGTGTGCAAGTGAATAATATAGAGTTATTAATTTTTGTTAATTTACTAGGTAATTTCAAAATTAATGTATCATCATGAAAATAATTCGCAAAGGCAGTTCTTCCAATCGATATCAAACTATCAGGAATAGTAAAATTTATAACACGGCTGCAATATCCAAATGCATCATCTCCAATTGAAATTACACTATTCGGGATTTTAATAGTTATGGCATTATCGCACTTATAAAATGCAGAATTACCAATTGATGTTACAGTATTTGGAATTATAATACTTTTCATCATTTTACATGATGCAAAAGACCCCTTATTAATAACTGTTATTCCGTTAGGGATTTGAATGTTCTTTAACTTTTTACAAATACAAAAAGCATTGGATCCAATAGATCTTACATTTGAAAAATCTAAAACGAGGCTTTCCAAATTTTCGCATCCTTCAAAAACTGAATATCCTATTGAAGTTGGCTTACCTGCAATTGTAACTTTCACTAAATTTACACATTCACCAAATAATGCATTACTAATATATGACAAACTGGCATAGATTGCAGCACTTTTCAAGTTTTTGTTTTCATAAAATAAATAATCTCCAATTGAAACTGCACTTTTCGGTATTTCGATGCTATTTAAATTACACCATTTGAATGCATCTTTTTCAATAGTAACTATATTTTTAGACATTATCACAGTCTGCAAATTTCTACAGTGAATAAATGCTTGCATACCAATTGTGGTAACGCTATCAGGAATCTTTATGCTTGTTATTGAGGTGCAACCATCGAAAGCATTGTCTAAAATTGTCGTTAATCCATTTGAAAGAGTTATATTAACCAAATGGTAACAATCCTGGAAGGCAGAACGTCCGATTGTAGTTACACTTCCTGGTATAGTAATGTATCGAAGACCAGAATCAGCAAATGATATAGTTGCTAATGATGTTACAGTGTTAGGAAGAATAACGGTTTGTAGCATTGAACATTCATAAAATGCCATATATCCGATTTTTGTGACACCATTAGGAATCGTGAATGTTTTCAAACTATTACAACGATAAAATATATTATCACCCATTGATTTAACTCCATTAGGTAAAATTATGTTAATCAAATTTGAGCAACCAGAAAATGCTTCATCGCCAATATATTGAAGACCAATTGATGCTGTAACATTTTGTAAACTAGAGCAAGATGCAAATCCCTTTTTTCCGATTGAAGTTACGTGACCTGGTATTTTAACACTTTTCAGATTATTGCACCAATAGAATTCGAAATCAAATATTACCGTTTGTGTTTTTGGAATTTCATAGGTTTCTTGATGATAAAGTCTGTCTAAACTTTTCAATGCTCGATTTGAAGGTTCCGTTAAAATCGAGCTAATCATTGAAAGCTATGACAGACTTTCATATTTCTTCGGACTGTTTCAGAGAATTGAGCGTGAGCTCAATTCTCTGAAAAGTCCGGACAAATTTGCTCAATTTATTTTATCATATTTTTTAACATTATTGACATCTATCATTATGAGCAAATCCGAACCAAAATGGTGTATAACATTCAAATTTTCTCAATCACTTTTGAAACTTTGAAAGATGTTCGGAACTCGTTTATGATTGTTAATAGTTTCACATTTGAGAATAATTTCATTATTACTATTTAAAATGTATTAATTATTGAAAGAAGATCAATAATTTTTTACAGACATATCAAATTTGATGCGTAAACATTTATATATGATGACATATAGATGTTAATATGATTTTATATTAGGATTTAAAAAAAATAAAGATCAATCTTTAATAAGACTTAACTTTTTTCGATTTTGTTATAGACCGAAAATAGATTTTTTCAGTTTTCTCTTCAAATAATTGAAAGAATGATACTATTATAGGTTTATTATATTATATAGCATATAATCATGCTATAGCCGAAAATTATAAGTTTTGAGAAGATTGAATATAACACAAATAAATTTGAATGTAAGTTAAATTGCTTGTTGTTTTTAATAGCTATTTAATGAGAAATCCAATATTGCAAAATTCAAATTGAATGATTGAAAGAACAGAAAAAGTCATTCTTTTCAATTTCGAATATGTTTCATTGTATTTATACTTATATGGCAAATAAGATATTTAAACTTGATTTTTGAAGGAAAATTCACAAAATTGAATAAATTCAAATAATTTTTATTCAAAAATAAACTAGTTATTTGAGTTTAATACTAATTATCTATTCAAACTACAAAGTTTGTAATTTAAAATATTTTGTGAGATCAGATTGAATTAATTCAAGGTTCTTTTCAATTAATATTAATGACCATATTACGCATTTTCGAACATTCTAAACCAAATATATAAAAATGGGAGACGAATGTTAAATTTTCTAGACATAAAGAAGTTGTTTACCGAGTTTTAGCTCTTATCTCTAACAAAAAATTAATTTTTAAAAAAATGACCGAATACGTTTCACAGCGAGAAAAAAAATAAAAGGCAAGATAGAATTTCCTAGACATAAAGAAGTTGTTTACCGAGTTTTAGCTCTTATCTCTAACAAAAAATTAATTTTTAAAAAAATGACCGAATACGTTTCACAGCGAGAAAAAAATAAAAGGCAAGATAGAATTTTCTAGACATAAAGAAGTTGTTTACCGAGTTTTAGCTCTTATCTCTAACAAAAAATTAATTTTTAAAAAAATGACCGAATACGTTTCACAGCGAGAAAAAAATAAAAGGCAAGATAGAATTTTCTAGACATAAAGAAGTTGTTTACCGAGTTTTAGCTCTTATCTCTAACAAAAAATTAATTTTTAAAAAAATGACCGAATACGTTTCACAGCGAGAAAAAAATAAAAGGCAAGATAGAATTTTCTAGACATAAAGAAGTTGTCTACCAAGTGTCAGCTGTTACTTCTTCTCAATACTGATATAAAATAAAAATCTTTATTATTTATTTAACCTTTATTGTTTCATTAAACTTCATTTATTTTATATTATAGTTTTATTCTTTTAGCTACTTGTAAAATAATCTAATTTTATATCATCATTTTACCGTATTATTCTTCAGTACATCGATTGTGTATCTAAAATAATATCATTATCCTTATTCTGTTTTTTCCAAAATTCTTTTAAATATCTTTTTTGGTTAGATTACTCTATACTTTTTACTTTTCTTTTTTAATTTCAAAAAAAAATTTGGTGATTGTTCTATTCTGTTACAATGTGCATTATCATATTCTAATGAATTATTCATTACATACATTTAAAAAAAACTTGTTAAAAATGAAATTAAAAAATTATGTTTATTATTACGCTGTGAATGTGTCAACAGCGGTCATGCCTGTATCTGTATCCCATATTTACCACAACCTTTCTGTATCTGCATTTGTGTATTTCGGTTTCAGCTGATACATTTGATTTGGCGTGTAATTTGTTCCAGTTAATGGATTAATTGGGAGATCTTCATGCGGTGTGTTATTATTGTACTCCCAAATAAAGGCAGGAATAGCCTGAATGCTTTGGCAGCGCTCCAATGTCGGCCAGAATCTCTCAATCTTCCCATTTTGGTAGGGAGAATGAGAGTCTGTATGCCGCCATTGGACGCCCCAAAGATCAAGTAGATCTTGAAAGGCGCCCCTATTTTCTGAACCGTTGTCGGTCCAGAAACAATAAGGGGCGCCAAATTCAATGAAGGCGGAAGCCGCAACGTTCGCTGTCGTCGCTGCCAGCATATCTGGTATTTGTATACACGCTAGGACTTTGCGGCTAAAATCGTCGATTATGCCATAAATATACTGGCCACGAACACCCCTAAAATAATGAACATCTGCGTGCCAGAAGTTAGTTAGTATACATATCTTCAGTACGGTGGCACTGCGCGCCATCTTACCGAAGACATGTCAATCTGACACTTTACAAAACCACTAACGTATATTTTACATCGCATATGCGATATTTCTAATAGCCTTAAACTATTTCTGCCACGTAAAGTATTTATCACATAAACCACCTCATCTCACCTCTCTGTACGTTATATATTGTGCGCAGATCATTGCCCATGGCAACTCCCCGCGACACAATGCACGTGCATGAAAAAATAAACGTTCTCACTAACGTACACACTAACGTTCCCACTAATGTTCTCATTTACAAAAGTATTGCAGCGCTTCCCATTGCTGTGCTTCACATAATAGTTCATATTCTTCAGTATCACTACTGTCGCTCCAATCGTCTGAGTCAAAGTCGCTGTCATAATTAATGTTTATAAGTTTTGACAAATGTAATGAAACACGCTTACCGTTTGTATCTACTGCTTGTATATATCTTCCATTATGTTTGCTATCATAAACGCTCAAACTAACTTTACCCTTTCTCCCTCTCTATGTAGAAATGATATTATTTTCATGGAACGAAGAACAAATTCTTGAACTCATGACCGTTGTAGTTTGTTATCTCAATAGTTTTCGTCATTACATCCAAATAAAAATTTTCAGTAAAATAAAAACTAAACGTTTAAAAATTTCTCATAACATAAACGTTCTCATTGCTTTATAACTCTCTTCCTTGGTTTCTTTTTAGTTGCTTTCTTCACGTCTGTCTCCAACTTGACTGTCTTTCTTCTTCGGCCGTAATGATACCAGTTACTTCCACCAGTCAATGGGTCAAATGGTCTTTCGTAAGGGTTTCCATACATTCCATAGGGACCATACGGAAGAACTACTGGTGGAGAAGAAACATTTTCTTTAGTTCCATCGAATCTATTTAAATGCATTGTTTCACCTTTCATCTGGTCATTAAAGTCTTTTGCGTGTTTTGCAAACTCATCGTCCTTTCCTAAAGCATTTTCTGACTCAGTCGCAACCAAATTGGATGCTTTATTTATGAGCCCTATTTTATTTAATCTTAACTTCTTTGCAACCCAGCCTCCAATCTTTCCTTTATTTGCATCTAATGTCTTTGAAACCCTTCCTCCACTCATTTTATTTACTGCGTCATAAGCTCCAAGTGCTTTTGCTCCAAATGCTAATGCTTTTGTTCCCATTGCGCCTAAAGCTGCCCAAGCTACCATTTACCCCATATTAAAATCATCTCTCTTCAATATTATCTCATAAAAGTTCTCGTTACTGGAGAAAGTCAATGAAACATAAGTTAGTATGGCTAAGTCGTGTACTGAGGCACTGCGCGCCTCCGTACACCACTTAACCTTAAATATTTACAAAACCGTTAACGTATATTTTACAACACAAACGACAACACTAACTTAACCTTAAATATTTACAAAGCCGCCAACCACTTCACCTCACTAATGTAAAAATAAACGTTCTCACTTACAAAAGTATTGCAACTCCTCCCATTGCTGTGCTTCACATAACAGCTCATAATCTTCTGACTCACTTTCTTCTTCATATAGGTCAAAGTCACTGTCAAAATAAATGTTAGTAAGTTTTGACAAAGCTAATGAAACACGTTTACCGTTTGTATCGTATGCTTGTATAAACTTTCCATTCTTCATTCCTTCATAAACGCTCAAACTAACTTTACCTTTTCTCCCTCGTATCTGATAGAATGTATTTTCACGAGGAACGAAGAATAAATTCTTGAACTCATGACCGTTGTAGTTTGTTATCTCAATAGTTTTCGTCATTTATATAAAAATAAACTTAAAAAATAATGATATCACCACCCTCACACGTATGAAAACATAGCGCAAAAATAAATTTAGGGTAGAAGGGTAGATCTAACCTCATTTCTACCCTCATTTCTAACCTGTTGAATTCATTGCTTTATAACTCTCTTCCTTTCTCCAACTCTTCTAACTTCTTCCTAAGTTTAGCAATGTTGTCCTCATGAAGTTTAATCTTCCTTAATATACCTTCTCTATCTAATGGTTGCTTTATCTTTCTAAACTGAACTCTACCATCCTTCATAGTATGAATGTAAAAACCTTCTGGAATAGTTCCTGATTTAATGTATTCTACCAAAAACTTTTGTTTCATTGCTTCAGTGACTTTAGTCGTCATTTCAATCAAATAAAAATTTTAATATTAAATAAAAATAACGTTATTTTTTTTCAGTAAGGAAA